AAATAAATGAACTTATTCGAGAACAAGAAGCTACACATGACGATATTTGCTCATTGAAAGCAACTATTAATGATATCAAACGTGACGTTGACCAATTTGAAGAGAATGGCATTGTAGTCGATGTCGATCCTTTAATTATTAATCAAAATTTAGTTTATATCGAACAATGGACATCGAATGAACTTGATATATCAACTCTTTCGTCACCTTATCGAATGGGTGTGGGTGTGGGTGTGGTGTGGCTTTCGATCTTTGTTTCATACCTACACCCACACCCACACCCAATAGTTGATTCATGATAAGGTAATTAAATTAATATATTTTTGTTGCATAGTATTTCTATATGGTTTTACAACAAATTTTGGGATGATACAAAATGGTCATAATCAGTAAGCGAATTCAAATTTATATATTGAGAATATTTTATTCTGGATTAATTGTTTTTCTAAGTTTCACGATAAAGTCCAGCAGTGTCCGACACGGGCCGGATCCGACCGAGTCAAAATGTAGCCGGGTCAAGTCGGATCAGATCACAAAAAAAATTACTGATCTCGAATTTTCCATGAGACAAACAGCAGTTCTAGGTGAGATAATGATTTCATTACTTTGAATATTGCAAGAACTCGCACAAACGCAGTGAGATGACCTTCAATCTCTGAAAAAAATTCGCTTTGATTGTCAAAAAGCTACCTTTAATTTCGGGTCGGATCCAACTGTCCTCAGGTGGGGTCCGGTCGAGTCCAACTGTTCTAGGGTTGGGTCGGGTAACAAAAAAGTGAGCCATGTCGAACACTGAAGTCTGGGGTCAAAATAACAATGTTTGAGTAAAGTGAAACAAATATCAATAAAAAATAATTCTATGATGTATCGATCATCTTCCCAATGCAAAAACCTTTTTTTCAAAAAGAATGACAAGATTTCTCCATTTAGTTTTATTCTTGTTAAATATTCTTTCCGTTATTTTTATCTCAGAAACAAAAACCTGAAGTTGTTTCAAAATAAATAAAACAATAAATATTTGAAGACAGTACAAAACTATTATTATGATAGTTTATAGTAAAAGATATTTAATAAATTCGTTCGAAATAATATAAAAAAAGCGAAAATTAATTTTCATCATCCTCTTGTTCAACCATTTCTTCATCATTATCTTCTACTTGTTGTTCATCATCATCTTCATCATGTAAATCAAACACTTAAACTTTTTCATTATTTTTATTCCAATGAAGTTTAACTTTAATTTTAAATTGTGCTAAAGGACGTTGAAATAATTTCAATAATTTAGCTTGCTCAGGTGTTAAAACATCACCTTTTGAGCAAATAGTAAATGGTTTAAGTAAATGAATAATTTCTTTTTTTTAAAGTTGTTGCTAAACCTGAGAATCTTAAAAGGGGTTCCATTGTATGTTGAAGACCATCTAATAATCCTTCATCAACAGTAACAGTTTCTTTAACACGATTTCCCGCTCTTGCATAATCTTCTATTTCTAATTGATTAAAATATTCTAAAACTTCTTATGGTGATCGATTCGTTAACAGTAAACCCATTTTTCCAACGAGATAAGGTGATACTTTTGATAATGCTGGTAATATTCTGTTGGTGGAGTTCGTCCTAAAGCAAATTGCATACCATGATTTTTTCCAAAGAAAAAATATGAAGTATTCTGATGGTGCAAAATGTGCACGAACTGTTTGTAATTTATCTGTACGTTCATTAAAAAGAAGAACAACAAATAAATGTGAACATTCATAAAGACGTGAACGAATTTTTTTTACTAATTCTTGTTTTAATTCAAGATCACGATTTGATTTTAACTTTTTGAAGGTTTTGATATTGTTATACGTTGTGATCGTTAAGATTTTGGCATTTTGATGATCTAAATATTTAAAATTTAGATTTATAAAAAGAAAATAACGAAAATAAAATGTGATTATAGTTGTGATACAATCAAGATCTTTCCATTAATTATTGATTTATTTTGAGAAGAAATAAAAGTAGTTTTATTTTGAAAAATTATCACAAATTGCAATGACATAGTCTAAAATGATATTTTTCTCTTGCATGTTCGCTACTCTATTCAACGAATAATTGCTCGTCGAATACATCGGAGAACGCAAAAGAATAGAAAAAAACGATTTCAGTTACGTGATTAATACATTGCCCTATGAATCAGAATGACCAATTCGTCGTTCTCATCTCACCATGTATATTATCCATGATAACGAACACATTGAACAAAAGATTCTTGTTCATTATTTGAGGTCAATATAAACGACAATGGAAATATTTTTCCGTAATGCACATTGTTGAATATAGCTATAAAAGATACATTCATTTGTTTTCTTTCTCATTCGATGGCATTAATTACAAAACTGGACGATTTACCAGATCTATTCTTTATTGATCTGTTTAATTATTTATCTTCCACTGATATTCTTTGGGCATTTACTAATTTAAATAATCGTATTCAAACACTAATCAATGAAAGAGGTTACTTTCGTCACATCAATTTATCATCAGCACGTTTGTCAAAATTCGATAGACTTCTTTCTATACTTCCATTGAATCAAATTGAAACACTGATCATTGACATAGAAGCATCACCTCTTCAACTTTCTCGCTGGCCGTATTTGCCTCATTTGACAACATTACGATTATATCGTTTACGTGACTTTACAGATGCTACCAATTTCATCCTTCGTCACTCAACTTCACTCAAACATCTCACATTGGAAACGAACGATTTATTTATGCAAGTAAGTATTATTCAAGAATATTTTCAAACTAATATTCAAATGAAAAAATAACCATTGAAAATATTTTGTTTAATATCTTCTTATTTCCATATATCCCTCTGATCAAAAATAGTTGCACACAGCATTTTTAACAAATCATTACTATAAATTGACACTTTGAGAAAGATAATTATAAATTCGGATAGCCCATGGAGTTCTCCACAACTCTATATATAAACATTTTGAATTGCGCTTATCTGGTAAAAATATATTCATGCAGAGTAATGGCACCCTCATCTCCAGATTCACCAGAAATGTATTTTTGTCCTTCATTTTTTCAAATTTTTATTCCTCATTTTCATTAATTTTGCGATTCGATTTAGATAGAAGCAAGTTATTACAAAACTAAATACATAATCTGAAAGTGCATGAAAGTCTCTACCTCTCTGTACTTTTACATTAAAATAAATTTGAAAAACAATTATGGAAAAAGATGAAGAAAAAAATGTATTTCTGGGGAACCCGGAGATGAGGACGCCTTTACTGAATATGAATTTGTTTTTACCAGACAAGTGCAATTCAAAATGTTTATATATAGAGTTGTAGAGGACTCCACGAACTATCCGAATATATAATTATTTTTCTCAAAGTCTCAATTCATAATAATGATTTATTAAAAATACTGTGTGCAACTATTTTTGATCAGGAGGATATATCTGATATCAAGATCTTTCTTTTTTCTTTAATATTAATTAGAATAAAGAAATGAATAATTATAGTCAGATGTGATAGATACGGAATAGAAAATAGTATTCAGTCGTATCTTCATCTCTATTTATCTATATTTTAAATTATTAATAGTATATATTAGCAATATTAAATCATATTATCAATTGTCAATGAGTTATTTCTATAGATGAAAATATCAATTGACAAAAAAGAGTCATTTGATAAATTCTTTCCAATATTCTCATGCAAAAATTTTTTTTTCTTGATTAATGAATCCAATTAATTATTTTTATTTTTTTAGTGTGGCTCTACGGGTTATATTTGGCATCCTAGAGAACGTCTTCCAACACTTGTGGAAAATGTTTTGCCACATTTGAGTGCACTTCGTTCGCTCGATTTAGGTCAAGATACTGGATTCGGCCTTACGACTTGGAACATTACTACAATACAAAGTCCTCTCAATTATCTTCGTGTATCGTTGGAACACATACCACGATTATGTCATGTTATAACAAGAGATACACTTTCAACTACATTAGAACAATTGCATGTAACATTGCGTAGTTCACATGTGAGAGAAAAAAATAGTATACCTAAAGAATTGGTCTTATCTAAAATGATCAATCTGCATACATTCACTTTGGTTCAATCGGTATTTACCTTTATATATAATAGAATTGAATGGTCAACTATTGAATCACTAACAGCTCCAAATGTGATGCCCGTCCTTCGACGACTAAATTTGGCTATTTTAATAGCTATCGATGATTTCGATTGTATCAATAGATCATCACTTTTCATAGATGATCGTCGAATCGATATTCAATTCGCTCTTATTATAGCTGATACTTCTCTAGGTAATGAATTAAGATATTCTTTACCACATGGTAGTCGTTTTCATCCACGACAAATAGTTGGTGTAACTTGTGTTGTAAGTTTCTTATCCCAAAATTATCAAGAATTGACAAATATGAATTGCTATGTGAGTAATTGTATTTGAACACTATTTTTATTTGACAATATTCTGATGAGAAATTAAGAAATGATGAAAATTACAATTTTCGATTTTTTTTCCTCAAGCTATTGATACAATAATCTTTCTTTATTTTAGTACAATCATTATCCATGGGCTTACAATGTTTGGTACACTTTACCATGGGCATTTGAACAATTCTTCTTCGAACCGGCTGATCTAAGTCAATATATAACTAAAGTAGAAGTATTTTCTCTACCTTCATCGTACTCATCTATTATTAGTTCATCTCGACTTCGTAAGCTTAGTATATCACAAAATAACTCATTACCATCAATTACTTCAATGCCTCATGTTGTGCGATTAGATCATATTAACGCAGTTCAGTTATCATTTCATGATTGGCCAACTGATTTAAATCTTCTTGCTCTTCGTCATCTTACATTAATAAATAATCTCATTACATTGAAAAACTTCTCTTCATTTCCATCTAATATTCGTTCTATTCAAATTCTACTTTTTAGTGATAAGCCGAATTTCAGCGCAAACAATTGGTCTATATTGCGTTCACTTTCAACCTTATCAATGCTGACCTCATTACATATCGTTATAAATGACATGGATACAGGTCTTGATGATATTAGTTGTCAGATTATTGCAGAAACAGTGCCAATATTCGCTCATTTTGGTATTTATTTACGAAGCAAACATGGACTGCCGGAACCTGATTCTATTGGCCGTTGTATCGAACTTGATCCTGTCATAGTCGATCTTCTTCTTAATGATCCTACTCTTCTTGTTACTGACGATGATGAAGAAAGTGTAGATTTGACATTCTTGGAATCAATATTTGATATTTACCGGGCATCTATCAAAGAACTGCATAGTCGTATTTTACGTTTAACATTTCCTCAGAAACCTGTATTTGTTGTTGAAGAAGAAGGTTGTGGACTAACTGTTTGGTTTTGACTTTTGAAATAAAAAAATAAATATTCAATAAAAGAGTTTCAGTCCCAACGAAGATCAGACATTTAGTATAATTAATTTCAGATTGGATATTTGTTGAAAGATCAGAAAAGTGAATTTATTTGAGAAAATTAATAAATTATTCAAATTGATAAATGAAATGTTTGTGTCACTAATGTAACTGACTAATTTGAGTTTCATTAAGATCTTTATCAATAATAATAACAACACATTCGAAAATTTGTCCTTGATGAAAAGATGGAAATTCTAAATCCATCCAAACAATATTCATTAATTTTATCTTTCTGTTGTTTTGAAGAAGATTCTTCATAATTTTCATTTAATGTTTTATGATGCCCAAATTCATATAAACGATCCCACATTTGCCAATGTTGATTTAATCTTACAAGATCAATTGAAGTTGCTCCATCTGATTCACATTTTAAAAAAGTTCCTAAATTATATTTTAGAATAACATGAGAAACAATATTTACATCATTTTTTCTTTGAACAAGTTCATATTTTCAAATATTTTTTGTGCGATTTGATAAATTTCTCCATCAATTAACTTTATTAGCACCATTAAAAAATAAATTATCAAGAAATGGAACAAGAAATGGTATTTAAGTATAACACTATGAATTGTTAATATAGTTTTGTTTACTTGAAGACCTTGAGAAGAAGAAAATGATAGAAATAGGACAAAAATCCTAATGAATTTAGTTAACTTCTTTCATTGAGCATTTTAATTTGAGTAATATTGTTTTCGATCATTTTCAATCAGGCATTAATGTATGAACATCACTGAAAGAAAAAAGTTGAATTTTTCTCAGCATTAGATTGATATTTTTATTTTGTAATTTTCTTGAAAGATATTAAGCTACTCTTATAGCTATACTATTTTATTTAACAAAGTATCGAAATCAGTCACAGAGATTTCATATATGGTATTGGTTTAATCTCAAATGTAGCGATATTTACAATTGCATTAAACAAAAATATAAAATAATAAAATAATTTATTTTAATTAAATGGAAAAAACGCTTTCCGTCATCATATAGTTGTTAATGATATATTTTTTCTGGCTTCATCTATGTCTTGATAAGAAGTAAAATCATATGAGATAGTTGTATTAAAATGACACCTTCTTAATACAGCAGGGTGTGGGTGTGGGTACCAATAAAGGGAAGATTGATGCGCACACCCACACTCTTACGAAAAAGTTTAATTTTCACTGCTGAGGATTTACTTGCCGTTGATTAAATAAAAAAGGATTCCAATTAGCCTTTTTATTGTATGAATCGTGGGTAAATTAATAATGAAATCAATGGATTGTGGTTGAGCATGAATCGCATGATATGCTTCTTCGACTATACGACCTATTGGACCAGATTCTTCAATAATTTTACGTTTTAAATTTTTTCGCATTTCCAGTACTTCTTTATCTGTTCCATCAGGTAAATGTGTATGTTCATCACGTACTATGACTGACAAATCTGCAAAACTTGTTGCTGTTGCATTACATTTCACACATATCCAATACTCGGAACCATTTTGGTTTTTACGTTTCCCATAATATCGATAACCGAGGTAACATAAATGTATTTTGCCATGTGTAGATTCAATAAATGTAGCAGACATTTTTTAAAGAGTACGAGAACAGAGTTGAGTATCCGTTCCTATATGTACGTTCTTTACAAAGATTATCATGCTGATGACTATTTTAGCTCCCAAATTAATGAGCACTGCTTATTTCCAAATGAAAACTTAGTTAATCGTTCGCTTATTAATGAATATTCCTTCCGATTTGAAAATTTATTGCAATTTTGTTCTGATAATGCATTGACTATTGCAATGACTACTCATTTGCTCATTTCTTTTCGTCAAAACAGTCAACGGAAAGTAAATCCTCATACAAGAAAAAGACTAATTGGAATCCATTTTTATTTAATCAACGGCAAGTAAATTCTCAGCAGTGAAAATTAAACTTTTTCGTAAAAAAAAAGCAATTAAAATTGAAAAACAATCAGTGGCAAGTAAGTCCGTGTCAAGTAAATCGTGTAAACCATTTTTAATTTGTAGTACGAAAAGCATATGTATCAATTGGCTAATGCAGCAAAGACTATTTCGTTGATAAATATTATTAAGGTCAACTCAATTTTACTATTTAATCTAGAAAGAAAAATCGTCAAGAATTCTACAGTTTAGTACTCTTTGAATAGGAAAAATATCAGTGGTTTTATAAAAATCAAGCAGAGATATATAGAAAAGTTTTGATAGATACGCTTTGATATTACATTTTTCACATTGACGTTAGACAAAATTTTCTTTGCTTTACAATAGTATTTATGTTCTTTAAATATAACATACACGTCTTACTACAATATATCCTAGTTCCACATAGAAAACTACGTCTCACGGGGTACAAAAATTTTGTCCTATTTGATGACACGTTCTTTTTTAACATTCCTCACACATAAAGAATCAATATATGAATAAGGATCGGTAAAATTTTCTTGATTTTGCATTCTGTTTTGCTATAGAATGCAAATAGTTCCCATGCTAATTTTAGACTGAAAATCAGCGTGAATTATGACTAATCAGTAAAATACAGAAATACGTATCAATAATGATTTGATAAGAAGAAAACAATTATACACATGCTGCCTTAATGAAAAATAGATAAAAATTATTTCGTTGTAAACTTTTTGTTTTATTTCTTGGAAGTTAAATGCATAAAAAACAAGTTTTGCAATAAAAAAATGTACGTCAAGTATAGCTCTTTTAGAATACTCGTACTGAGTTTGATGCCTTTTTTTTTATAGAAGACCTATGCTCTTGTTTTTTCTTCGCTTCGGTTATCTTATCATTAACGCCCTGTTGTTTCATTTCACGCCTATCAATGACTCATCTATTGACGTATATTTCTTCTACTTCATCAAACCATCAGCAAATTGCATATATAAGGGACATGCTTTGCTGTGTGTACAGTCAACGATATTTATTGGCTTTTCTTTTTTAAGAAAAAAAAATTCGATATACACTAATTGAATATGAAAAAAACGACAACAACAAAAAAAAACTGACTTCATTGATAAGAAAGATGACGGCTTATTTTGTTCTTTTTTGAAAAAAAAATTATTATTAAACAAATTTTTTATGTGACAATTATTAGATGAATATCTGACATAAAAATGAGATAGATTAGGCTTTTTACAGGAGAAAAAAAAACAATAAGAATTGATTGTATATACTGAATCAAATGTTATAAAAAATTTGGTTTTTATCGACGTGAATGCGTTTGAAGACGACGTAATTCAGATGATTTCGTTTGATGTACGGGTCTGTGAATATATGTGCGTTTGGAATGAATCTTTATATCGAAAATTAAAAATTAAATTGAACAAGTTCAGTATAGAGTAAAGTATTACCTTTTCTTGTTGTATAATATCCGTAATGTGGTTTTTATTGGAACGAACACATAAGTTTTTCTCACTTTTTTTATTGATTTCTATTTCAATATCAACTGAACGCACTGATGATGCATTACTACTACTATATGTTTGACTTATTGGTGAGGGTCGACGAGGATTACTTATAACTTCATCTTCGTCTTCATGATCATCATCATCGTCATCATCATCACCACCACCATTTAAATACCGAGGATTAACTAAAATGTCGAAAATATATATTTTGTATTATTGAATCTATCGATTTTCTTACATGATGGAAGTACTTGAGCGATAAGATTACGTAAAAGTGCTTCACCTGCTTTTTTATCGTAATGATCATCGTCGTCATCATCAATATATTCTGTGTTATTATTATTATTATTATTATTGCCATTCATTGGATCAGCATTCTCTTCATCACATCGATGTTTCTTTTTAGTTGTTATTGAACGTGTTGTTGAAATTGATGCATTAGATAACGACCGTTTAGGAGCTGAACTACTAGTTGGTAATAAACTATCATAACCACTTTCTTGCATTGCTGAAGAAGGTATGGTAATATCATGTGATGATAAACCATGATTAGAAGAATCTTCACGCATTGTCTAAATGAAATACATATATATATATATAATCTCATCATTATAGTGTTGACAATTTAGAAATGAATTGTTCTTGACTCTAGTTTTTTATCGAGTAAAATTTCTAGTTCTAATATTGCGCTTATTAATGTATGTATGTACTAGTGAAAATGCCATAAACTTTTATAGCAAGGTCAAAAACATCGAGAGAATTAGAATGAATAGCATGACCTGTTACATGTTCTCCCAATTAGAAGTTCATTACATTCTTTTTCTTTTTTCAATTTCCTGATAATTTAGCTATTCCATATTTACATTTATTTTACAAATTATTATATTACCTGATCATTAATTGATGATGACGATGATGATGATGTTCCTTTTGGTTTATCTTGACAATCAATATCATTGATTTTTGATGATGAATCCGATGCACTTGTTAATGACACATGATGATGTGGTAAACGTTGCCGAATAAGTTCGAATAATAATCGTTTACCTTTTTGATCTTCATCATCTTCATCCTCATCTGTTGTTGTTGTTATTGTTGTATCAGTTGTATTAAATGATGATTTTGGATGTTCATTATGTTCATGTAAACTTTCTTCATTAATGATACTTAAATTATGTTTTAAATTTCGTAAATCATTTATACTTGACAATATTGTATTGTTTGCTGCTGCTGACGATGATGAAGATGAAGGGGGTGGTGGTAATGTTAATGAACTTAATGATGAACGTATTGAATCATTATCATCATCATCATCGTCATCATCATAAGCAATTCTTGGTGGCGATATAGCATAATTACGTATACTATCCACATCGTTATCATCGTATATATAATTATCGGATCGTTCAATGATTGTTGAACCAGTTGAACGAGTTATATTTAAAGGTTGAATGAATGTTTTCTGTTGTTCAATGGTATCAATATCATCATCTAAACCACGTGGTGGTGAATCTGGTATATCACTAGGTGATAGAATTCCAGATGGATTCGTACTATGTTCTGATGTGTATGTTGAATTATGTGAATGAAAATTAACATTAAAACTTGATAATGTTTCCATAGATGAATCTCGTGAAAACATTATTGGTGTTGAATAAAAGGATTCTTTTAAATTTAAATCATTTAAAATATTTTGTTTATCAGTGGACATTACTTATCAAACATCTTCTATTTCAAAATAATAATAAATAGATTTTATTATCTAAATTCAACATAGTTGTTCCTGTTTGTCTAAAAATAAGCAGAAAAAACGTATTTAATCTAGCACATTGTTGATTTCTTTTTTCCTTCATACTCTCAGGATATTGAAAAAAAAACAAACGAACATGAATCTAGATGAAATAATGGATGTTTTCTTATTCTTTTATGATGTTACATAGAAATGTAAACGCAATTATTTACTGCGACTACAGGTGGACACAATCAAACAAAAGAAAAAAACGACATTAGACTACAGTAAAAAAAGAAAAACTGAAGGAGTCTACATTCTTTTTCGCACGAAGCGATCAAAAATAATAATGAAGAGGCAAACGGACATTAGAGGAGAGTCTGATTGAGATGATTTTGCTATTTAATCTTTCTCATTTGATTGATTGTATTAACCACCGCTAGTATCGACTTTGACACCGGCGTAGAGTTGTACTAGTGAATCGAAACCAGCTAAGACACCAGCACCAGCAATACCACGAAGAATATTGGCACCAGCTCCTTTGAATAAAGCGACGACACCTTCCCCTCGTACGACTTGGAACATACAATCCAATGATCCATTATATTTCACGGCTTGACCTGATGTCATCATCATACGTCGTCGAACAGTATCGACTGGGTATGAAATAAGACCTGATGTAACTGTTACACCATAACCAAGTAAAAATGAAAGCATGATACCGGCATCAGGACCAAGTAAGATTGGTTTTAATGTATCATAGAAACCAAAATAACAGCCACGGTAGATAACAATACCAACACATGATATTACGAAACCACGATAAAGACCGGCAATGCCATCGGTGGCCAATGTTTTCTTATAAACATCAACGAGACCGTTGTATTTACGTTCACCACCACCTTTCTTTATACTCTTAAGATCATTGGCTAAACGCGTACGGGCATAATCAAGTGAATAGACAAAACATAATGACATGGCACCAGCTACACCACCACTCGCTACATTTTTACCGAAATTGATCATGTATGGATCGTTCTTATTTTGCTTAAACATTAATTTGATTTTATCTTTGAAGGCAAAGTTCAAAGCCTAGAGAAAAAAAAAAGAAAACATAAATTATGTTTTTTTTCGGTGCATTATGGATCAAAACAAACCTGAGTTGGAAAATAACGAATACAATTAGCCAAGTTACCCCGCCAAAATGGAAAGAGGCCTTCACTTTTGAATGTATGTATCGTACAATCAATTACACCTTTGTATGGTTTTGCAAGTACACCTTGTTTGATCATTTCACCTTGATTTTGCACGAGTAATTTTACACGTTCAATAGGTGCAGCTGCTGTTTTGGAAACAACAGCAGCAACGCCACTGAGGGCGAAATTTTCGATGAAGCTCAATTTTTGAGTGTCCTTCTAAAAAATAGATATTGATAAAGATAGATTTTAGTTACGATAACCGAACAAACGATTACTTACCGCCGCCATTACGCTTTCTTATGCTATTACTCTAGAAAAAACAAGCATATTTCAATTCCATATTCTACTATAGATTCATAAAACTTTTAACATAAACATAAAAACAAACTAAACGAGTCGCCTTTTTCTCGTTTTTTTTGGTTACCTACTGTTCTGCTGCTGATGGGCGGTTTCTTATTCGATAAGAACAGGAAAGTGGTGAGTTCGACAAAAAAACAAAATCACAACACACACAAGATGGCTAGTACACGCAAATCCTCCTCAAAAATGTTTCATCTGCGACACTAAAATTGGTAAACGTGTCTTTGTTATCGATATTTTTAAGTGATTTATGCATTTTTTTAAAAAAGCGATCTCTATCTTTTATTCTATATTGGCTCATTTGAACAACCAATCAAATAAGCGTTACTATGGAAATAGATTGGGAGCTAAAATAAATGAACTCGTTCACATGTTCAATTATGCGACGATTAAACAACTTCTTTTACTCTATTCAGGTATTTTAATCCTACTTTCTGTTTTTTCTTAGAGATTATATTAGAATATTAATTTAATCATTAATTATTATTATAAATGATAAGAAAATTGAAAATTTACTCCATCTATGAAAAGACAAATTTCTTCACAACTCTTTTCTTTTAACCACTTACACTTGAAATAGAGTCAAAGCTTATATTTTCTAGTAACATTTAATTGATATGTAAAGTTTTTCAAGGTAGGTCAGCAATCAATCTTGATAGTCTCATGCTAGTGCTCACCACCTGGTGTCGAGCTGGAGAGAGAGCGAGAGTTAAGAGTGCGAAATTCTACTCTAACACTTACGCCGTCTAACTGTTCAATCTATATTTTGTAGATATATTTGAAGATCGTTCAAGTTCATTATTTGCTTTTCAACATTTTCACTTTGATTCACGCATATCAAATATGGTAAAAATGCGAAAAAAATAGAATTCCATTCTATACTCATATTTGCTAATTTATTTTTTTATTGCGTTCATTGAAATCTAATTGATGTTGATATAAAAAAATATCTGAATTCTATAGAATATTGGAGCGTGGCCTATGGAAAAAGAAGTATTAACTGATTGTCATGTGCAACATCGAGAAACATCATTAATAGATCATAATCAACTTTTTTGGACGAAAGTTCTTCTACAAACAAGTCCATATGATGAAAAACGGTATCGTCAAATTACTTCCAATGCATGTGAACGAATCGTTCGTAAGCGTATTCAAGTTTCAATAGGTATTATTAAATCTATAAGTATTTGTTTATTAAGAAGAGGAAAAGAAATCGTCTTCATCAAGAACAACGTAAATTTTCTATTATTTGTTAAATCAAAAACTATTTCCACCTTTCGAGTTTTTGTCTTTGTCAAGTTTGCATCGTCCATCGAGTGTCGTAGCTGTAAGTTTCAGTGAAACAAGTACAAGACAACATAGTTCAACTAATCGTTCGACATCAAAACCGATGAGTTCATCAGTGAATTCAAGAAAAAAACTTTCCTATACACGATTTTCATGCTATCTAAAATCTCATAATACAAATAATTATTCAAAAAAATTTAAAACAAAACTATCAACAGTCGTACCAAAAAATAATAATTACTATCATCATCAAACTAATATGAACTGTTTGTCATCAAGAAAAAACTTGGTTAAATCAACTAATCAATGTAATGAAAAGCTTTGTCAAAAATGTCTAAAATCAATACAAATCAATTCCAAACATATATCATCGAATTCGTTTTGTCAGGCGTGTTCTCATTTAATAAAAAGCTCTAAAAATAAGATCATTCCATTAAAAACATTTTCTTTAAATAAAAGTGAAGAAAATGAATTACGTCAAATAATTGAAATAATTATTGAAGAATTTCAAGATCATTTTGGTCAAGCATTAAATTTATCTATTAAACAAATGACTCAACATTTACTTTCAAATATAAGTCTTTTCTATAATCATTATCAACAAGAATTTGAACAATTAACAAGAAAATATCGTCTCGAATTTCTCGAACGCTTTATTACACTAATGAATAAATATCAAAATTCTGAAGCAAACACAAATCATATTATTCAAAAGAATAAATTATCCATCCATGATCGAGTAATTCTAGTTTTCATTAAACTGTTTGATCCATAATATTCACGTAGTTCCATCAGTATAGATGTCTTCATTGCTTTCAATCTTTCCATTTACCGTCCTTATGTACTTATTCCACGAGTATAAAATATATTTTTATGATACTGAATTAACTGATATAATCTTTTCTTGATAAATCTATATATGACTATGCAAATCTGTGTCCCATAATAGTTTCACACGTCGTTTTCATACTTATGGATTCAAAGATGGCGATGTTCTTAGGTTTTTGTGGACTTGTTTTTAGTTAGGGACATATATTCCATGAAAAGAATTCAAGTTTGCAAAATATAATCAAAACGTGAGAATTAAGCATTTCTCGAATAAGAGGATTACAATCACTACGGATTTGATTATTTACACTCCAACAAAATTTACACTCATTTTTTTCAAAACTCAACTATTTTCTTAGAATGACCTTCCCCGGTTCACAAGGTCGAAGCCAATCGAACATTTTATTATAAATTTCTCATCTTCACTATTTAGTTTACATTTGTATCTTTAGAGAAGTCAATGCTAGGAGATAAGATTTAAAATTGTTCTACTTATATCTTTTCAATAATTAAATAGCTTCTACCGCAAAGGGTAGCGAATGCTTGATAAATTCAAATAATATTTAAATCCCTCTGCGTTCAATCTATTCAAGTAACATTTTCAGATCAAATGTAGAAACATGAAGTCGTCTGGATATAAATAATAATAAAAGAATGATTTTCTATAGAATTCTATCACACATCCACCAGATATATTATCAATGTCATCACTTAGTGGTTCATTAGCTACAACAAAAGATCGATCTGAAATTCGTAGAAATGCAATGACACCATCGAATTCAATATCATCAGCCACAACATCAAATCGTTCAATTTCTATTGATACAAAAAATAATTTAAATAGGGATCGAAAAAATCTTTCAACTCGAAATAGCTCATCTAAGAAAACAATTACTTTAAATAGAAGTAGACAAAGACAATCATTAAGTAGGTATATTTACGTCGAGGTAAAATATAATCTTTTATTTATTTTCACAGGTAAATCAAGTAAACAAACGTCCTCATCACGTCCACTGATTGATGCATATCGTTTTCGCGATACTTTACGAATCAACAATACTCATTTTTCTTCTCCACATTCAAAACTTCGATGAGACGTCTACTAAATAAATCTGTATAGTTTTCTTTCTGTTGGCTCTATTTCTCATAATTTAAGTTTACATTTAGACTAGAATAAAGCATAGACTTATCGTTACTATTACTGCACTTAAAATATTCAATCAAATAGAATGCAAAATTCTAACTTGATCAGAAGCTTTTTTGTCTTCTTCGGAAAACATTCATAACTTTTCTCGGCGATGTTCGTTTGAGCTGTTTTTTTTAATTTCTTTATATGACTTATACTTCAAGTCAATTAGTTCATGATAAGCAATAACAATGAAAAAGAAACATACTAAAATCTTTCATCCGTTCTTTTCATCTTCCAATTCAATCATTCTAGTCAATGTCTTTGTATTCTTCGGAAAAACTACGATTGCGATATCGAAAATGTATCTAATCACAAAATTAAATTAAAAATTTTATTCCTAAAACTTAAAACCAATACTTTTATAGTTTTTTCGTTTATTCGATGGACTAATTTTCATTATATTTTTCTTACAATATTCAAACGATGTTTGTGATCGAATTAGAGAATTGATTTCAATAGGATGATTCTAACTATTTCAAATGTGATCATCTAATAATATATTGACAATAGTATAAAATATTCCGTAACCCTAATCGAAAATTGTTAGGCAATAATAATCAGTGAATCATCTGCAATCAACTTACATAGACAAGTTCCTTATTGATGTAAAAAAGTTTTGCCCTTTACACCTCCGCGAGAAGATACCAGTACAACCAGAGGCACATTATTTTTATTATCTCTTTTGCAAATCTGTCAGATTAAATAATTTTCATGTATGCATGACACTCTAGAAGAATCAACAAATATCATATGTTTATTGTAAAAACATGTTTTTTCTGTCGCCGGACTCATTCATTCAGAGTCGAAAGGGCGAATATTGCTTTTCAATACATAAAATACTTATCTATGCAAGATGACTGGAGATTCGTTTGCTGATTATCATAAAAGAAAAATTTTGATTAGAACCATGAAATATCTTTTTTTTAATGTTGCCAATAGGCTAATATTATTCAGAAAGATTTTCTCTATGAAATATGTAGAGATCAGAGCTTCATGTGGCATGAGAAAGTTTTATCCCATCCCATACGGCGTTGTGATAGAGACCAATTGTTAATTGCTTAACAAATAATCTAGAAGTATTGAAGATGACCCTGTCTCGTATTAGAATAGCAAAAATTAAAATCGTCTAATTATTATAAAAAATAAATTGAGTAACATTCAAAAAAAAACGTATCGAATTGAGCCTAAAAACAAAATTTGCATTAATTTATTCTCGAATATCATTAAAGAACTGTGGTTCCTATGAGTATACCATATAGTTTTCTACGAGCTATACTCAGTATATAGTATATAATTTAATATACTGTAGCAAGTTCTACAAAAACACATACATAGCATAGTGGTTCTAGATAGTTGTGAAATCCGACAAGGTCCCTTTTATCTGTATCTTTTATATTTAATTTATGCTTTTTTTTAATACTATTTTTGATTTATCAAATGAGATCGTTTTTATTCATATCTTCAAATTCTAGATTTTCTAATTCATAAGTAAAAGTGTTAACTTAAAAGTTGGACATAAACTGAGCTCATTGATTATATTCAATATTTACTATATTTATTTTTACAAAGAAAATTTATGTGCTTCAATGCATGAAAAAGAATCCATATGACTGATAAACTCCTTGGACAATAATTGCTCATCTTTTGTTACGCATTATAAAAATGAACTTTATGCATTAGACAAATTTCATCAACACGACTTACTAGTAACGGAGGTTTTGCATTGTAACTAGATGAATTTTAGTGTAGTGAAAAATTTCAGTACAATAGCTATTTATTATTGTTCAAGTTTTACAGATTTATGTCAATGAAAATTTTGTGAGGATATTGACGTGATTTTGATTCAAGAAAATATACACACCCGCTGACACGCATCCTTCTATTTACACCTGGATATGGTTTTCGAAAGAGGGAGAAAGACTACTGACACAGATATCTACTTTTTATTTAGTGCATAGACGAACTTTGCAATTAAATAAATAGGTTTATATGCCGATTACCCGACATAAAATATCATACTGATGCTTGAATCAGAAGTGATCGATTTTGAGAGTTATTTTTATTGGTCAAATGTAATAACTAAAATTCATTCTTTTAACACCACTGCATAGAATAGCATCTGGTGGGGGAAATTCTCTTTGTCAGAGATTTATCGATCAGATAACGTTTTATTGTACTTGAAGCAAATGAAACATACAACCAGAACTATCTTAAGTGAAGCTCATTTGTATGAAGTATAGAAATTAGATAAGATCAATATTGTACCTAAGAGTTCTATAGCATGCAAAAAGATATGCTCCTGATACGATACCTTATTTCAGACTAATATATTTAGAATACCATTAATAGCAGAAACTTCCTGACTAAGATATATTTCATACGTATCGAAACATAGATTTATTCACAACCAAAGTATTCTTTTCATGCCGAAATAAATTTTAATAGAAGCAAACATAATCAAGAAATAGATTTTAGTTTAGGACGTTCTGTCAGCTGTGTAGGTTTTGTTGAAACTATTTCTTTTTCAGATCTATTATCAGTAGTGGTCACCTTAAACTGTTCCTCACACAACTGTGTCACCTTTTATTATTTGACATAAATAACGCTTTCTTGTTATAAATCACTTGTTTTCAATTATTTATGAAAGAATTAATTGAATCAGATACAAGTTCAACTTCAATACCGCATTGTGTAGGTAAAAACTGTTTTTATTGTTGTGCAAATAAACATTCATAACCTATGTATTATATTTTAAGGTCAGTAGATTGTTTTCTAAAAGAAATCTATTTCTTGGTCAATTCAAAAACGTTGATTCCAATTCGACGCAATTTAAGTGTTTGCAGCTGATAGATGAATACACATCATGAATTTTTTTTGTCAAACAATATTCTGTTATTTTAGGTCTAAAGCGTTCTCTGTTTATGACCTACGCAATTATAAGAAGAAATAAACTTTTTTCGTTTTCTTGTATTTCACCTTGTCGAACACAATGAAACTAAGCATAAGAGTACTGATGCGATAAATTCATATATTCATGTCTCTGTAGGGTTCTTCGTTAAAAACAATTTCGACAGACATCTGAATAGTGTACCCATAATTTTTCTTCAAATATCGTAATATTTATTTATTATTATATCAATGCGTCATTATGTACATGAAAAGTTATGATTCATCTGGTACTCATGTATTTTTATTACATTGAAGTTCATCATTCACTTGTCATTGAGAAATGATTATCAAAATGTATACTATTTTGTCGTCACAGGTATTCAAATATGCCTAAGAAAAATATTGTATTTTCATAGTAGCGTCAATCTCTTACCGAATATTATTTCTACAGAACATATTCAAACGAAAGAAATCGAATCGATCCAATATTTTTCTTTTATTGATAAAAGATTGCTAGATTATCGTGGCAAATTCATTTAAAAAGTTCGAAAATAATTGCTCTGTAATATGAATGGCAATCATCATATAAAAAATGCAAAAATTGGCACAAACCACAAAAATACTATAATCATGTTCGAACATGATAATGATCGATATATTTTATTGTTAGCCCAATTAGTTTCATCGAACAATATTTTCCTAGAAAAGGTAAATCTTTAGTACATGATAGCCGGAGAACTCAGTTCAAAGTGTCAGAAACTTATTTTGCATGGAATGTTAATAAATAAATAAAATAGGTCTTCAAAATTTTATTGATTTTTTTTTCATTTTCCGAATTACAATTTTGAAGTTTAAAGAAAGAAGGAAAAAACGAGAAATTTACAAGCCGAAAATACACACGCACAGTAAATCGTAAAGTAAAGAGAACAATAAAGAAGAAGAAAAAACATTCGCCGAACTGACAAAAATAATGTAAAACAAACCGACTGCGCATATAGTTACTTCCACCGGCCAAAGTTCGCAATACATGTATGTATATATAAGAATAAAATACAATTTATAAAAAATATAGATAGATATATAGATTGATATCGATCTCAGTCCCAACTGTACATACACTCACAAACATACAAAGACAAATAACAAGATTACATCCATTTTCTTAGAATCGTTATTCTTTTCAAAAAAAATAGGTTTAATGAAAATGTACAAGCACAACTTTGTTGCCAGATTAATATATAAAGAAAAATAAAAGCAAAGAAATTTTTTTTTTAGGTTTTCGTTCATGAACGTTAAACTTCGAATTTTAAATTGCAAAGACACACATCACAAAATCGTTTTTTTGTCGGAAACAAAACCGGATGAGATTCACATGCACTTCTCTATGCCAGAAACAGATCGCTTAACGTACACGACAAGCAGAAGAAAAACAGAAACTTAAGGTTTTTTAAACCGTTAATTGATTGTTGAAAGAAAATAAAGATAAAAATAAGTCACATGTACATAACGGACAAAACGAGGTTTTCTTTTTTTATAACATATACAAAACGATATCAGTATCAACAAGTTAGCTATGTTATAACATAGTTTCCGTTCACTCACGTACATAACCACATCGAACAACAATGACGAAAAAGAATAAAAAGAATAACACAACATACAAGCCAGTTTATATTAAATATGATTTGGAGTGGAGAAATAAAATGTATATATATATATATGTATATGTATATATAAAATAAGTTCCGCTTCACCAGTATTGCACGAAAGACGAAATACAATCGTAACAAATATCATCCATCATTCAAAAATTTTCTCTTATATGCTTAATGTATATTGTTCATAGGTGCATACTGACGTTGTTACCATCTCATCTCGAAAGCTCACAGAACAAAACCAACAAACAAAACATAATCTGACTTGTAACTCTTCTCAAAGACATATCTACAGTAGAAAAACTATATACAATGTAGAAAATGTCTTTCAATATTTATAGACTAGGTTGGCGCCCTCACTCGTTATATTTTATATATATATATATATATCAAACATGGGAAATTTAAAGAAAAACAAATAATCTTTTTTTTGTTGCTTACGTCATCGGTATTAAATCAGTTACTAAAAATTTCTTACCAATTAATAGGTTTGCTAACAATCGTTCTCGTCTTTTCGGGATAAGAAGAAAGAAATGGGAATGTTAACGAAGAATAGTTCCCAATCAGCTGATAAAAGAAAATATCGTCTGACTGGTCAAAAGAAGAAAAGAAAAGAAAGAATCTGGTTTGATAGAATATTAATAAAGTATGTTTTAAACGCACGCACCTAGTTAATGGGTTGTTCACAGTTATTAATTGCTGCTTGAAGCTATAAATGTGTATGCTTGCTTGTTTGTGTGTGTGTATGTGTGTGTGAATGCAGTGTTAATATTGGTTTTTATCGACATAAAACATGATTAGTTGTGGTATTTGTCGATCGAGTATTAGTAGAGGATTCGACAATAGTTTGCTGATCATGTCTGTGTGGTTGTTGTTGATGATGAAAAAGATCAAAATGATTTGGTGTTTGCTTAATACTCAATAATAAATTTGTTGTAGGTGAACTTGATATTAATGGAACTGTTGTTGTGGTTTTCATTAGATTTTGATTTTGTAAAAACACATGACGTGATAAACGAGAATTAAGATCATCGGCTGCTGATGTTGGAGAGAAGCCTATTGATTGAGAGAACTGTGACGCTAATGATGATGGAGAAAGGCAACCGGTTATTGAGGAATTTGTATCACTTAATTTTGATGAATATGTTATTTCCATTGGAGCCGATTGAGATGGACGATTATTTGGTATATCTAAATGATTATTATTTTATTTACTTTTTATTCTAGTTAAGAAAACAATGTGTTATACCTTCTTCGTCTTTTCGTTTCTGTTCAGCTGCAGCAGCAAGAAGAAGTAATCCAGATGATCCTTTAAAAAAAATACGTAACCAATTTTATTTTCAAAAATAATTCTTTTTCTTTTTAAATAAATAAACAAACCTTGACTGATATATGAATTCGATTCAGTTATCATCGAAGCACTTGTTGTATTTGTTTCATTATCCGATTCACCATCCATGTTCGATTCATCTGCTTGGTTTTCATTCCTATCTGACTTCGCTTCTAAAATCAAAATAGAGTCTCATGAAACAGCAAAGAAATAATTCCTACTATACATACTCAATTCGCGTTTCTTTCTAGGACCATCGACTGTAATTTTAATTGCTCGACGATAAGTACATTGTTGGGGTGGTGTTGTTTCGATGACTACAGTTAGCGTAAATTTTTTACCTAAACACATATTTATTTTATTTTATTTTTTGATAAATATTAAAAATAATGTTTTCTTTCATTCTAACCTCGTCCACTGGCACCTAAAAATCTTAAATCATTAAATTCAGCTTGACCACCACGAAACCAGCTAACATTGTTTTTCAGTGTTGCGCAAGGATTATAATCATTGCCAGCAAAAATAACCACACGTGTATTTGCTTTTATATCGATTTGACGTTTGGTACGTAAAATGAAACGTAGTGATTTATTCTTTCTCCAATGGCTACAGAAAAAGAAAAGAAAAACTATTGCTTTTGTTTTTAAGAAAAAATAAATTTTGATTACCTAGGTAATGAGGAACATTGAAAATATGGATTTAAATCAATAAATGAATTTTTTGTACGTGCTAATATTTCTTCCGCTGGTGAAGACATAGTTGAACATCGTTTGATTATACTGGTGGGATCTTTTGTTGTTATGATTGATAATTTTTTATCAGTAGGAATGGTCGGATGAACAGTATATGATGATATCGTACTGTATGCTGGATTGGATTCTGTGGAGTGATTTGTACTTGTCGATGATTTATCACTTTCTGTTGATAAACGTCGTCGTTCAAAAGCCATTTTGTTTTCAAGAACTTAATTTGCGATTTGTTTCAATACGAATTCGTATGTACAATATGTATAGGATAAAAAAATATTAATGAAATATTAAATCAGGCCGGTACGACCTAAAATGTAATAAATATAAAATTATATACACAAGAATCGACAAAAACCATCTAATGAAGTGTTTGAAAAAAGAAAGCATTTATTGAGTATACTGAAAACGAAAGAGGATAGGTCAAAGTCAACTAATTTACTTTTCAATATTAATGATCATTGGAAGAAAAATATGTAATGTTTTCATAAACCGTGACGCCTACAACTCGTGATTGTTTCTAGATATATTTTTACCTCGTATGCAGTGTCTGTAGAAGAGTATGTCGAAAAAAATGAAAAGAAATATTTGCTATATTACACAATCTATGAAAACGATAGAAAGAGAGAAGAAGCAGCGAGCACATGACACGCAAAGATGATGTCTGTTCTTTTCTGTCAAACTCGTGCCTACTACGTAATATCTATACGAGGAACTAAAGGAAGGTGGAATTTCGAAATACACTCGTGTAACCTTATCACTATTTATTTTACATTAAAACCTCGTGATGATTTCGACTACGATCATCATTATTGTGGTGTGACACGATGATGAATGAACCAGTTGGTTTCTAGCATCATAAGATATGATGGTTTTTCTCTCTCTTTATATTGGAATATATATTTTTCTCTCGCCCTCTTTCTTCTCTCTCTGATTTGTTCCTTCTCAAACCATCGCGCAATTTCTTTCTCAGTCGTTGACACAGTGTCACGTTCCTTTTTGCTCTGTTTCTCTCTCTCTCTCTCTCTTTTTTCCTGCTTTCTTTTGCTTTTCTATGAAGCTAAAATATACGAAGTGTTTGTTTTTTTGTGGTCGAACAATGACTGCTATTGATGAAAATAAAAAATATATGCATTGTCGGACAAATTTATTTGTTGTGTTCTTTTTGGGTAGAACAAAATTTCATTGCATATTTTTTTGTAAAAACTTAAAAAAAACTTGGCTAGTTTATTTTGCTATCGTTATAAATATAGATTTTTGTCGACTCATCTATCGTCTGAAGCTCTCTCTATTCATTCCTTCTTTTTCCCCTTCCTTCTTCAGTTTTTCTCCGTCTATTTTTTTCTCTTGTGGTAGTAATAATTCGCGAGTTGCTGTTTTTTTTTGTGGATATGTGCCAACAGAAAAACATGACGTCATGGAATCGTTTATTTACGTAGGTGGACCATTGTATGTTTATAGCAACTTACATTGACATCCAAACATATTGTAATGCATCTTAATTTTTAGCAAAAAACGAAAAGAAGCAAAAACTATGTAGAATATGCGAAGAATATTTATAATGATTGGCATGATTTTTCCTTTTTTTAAATAATAATCATAATTGACAAATGAATATGGGGAATGTACATTTTTGCTCCACCTTATGCCTATAAATAATTGGAAGAAAAAGTACAAAAAAAAATTGTGAGAATACCTACAGGTATGGATAGAAGAAAAAAAAGCCACTGTCAGTGTTATTATTCTTTTTAACGATATCACGAGTATCGAATGCTTTTTATTCGTCTCTCTTTTTTCTTCTCTGCCTATGCACTTTTACACTACTGCAGAAACCGACTGATAGTGACGGTGGTTGTTTGTGGTAAGATCAGAGAAGAAAAACATGAGGACATAGAAACGGAAGCCGCCGATGAAATGCATCGGAAACTTTTGCAGTGTTTGTGGTGAAGAAGTAGAAAGAGAGAAAAATAAGAAAGCAAAAAATGTATGCTTCTTATTTATCTGAGCAAGTTGTGTTGAACTTTGCCTTTTTTCCTCTTCATATATTCATATTTATATACTTATCTGTAAAAAAAATGTAAAAAGGCAATCTATTTTAAATTCTAGTTGTATTAAGAATAACTAATGATTGCCTGAGTTTCTATGAAAATTATTCATTCAAAGTCTCAATTCAGATCAACTAATATTCTTTATTTTAAATAAAAAGCAAACAAAAAAATAAAACCAAAAATGTCGATTATATTTCGTTTGCAAGTCAAACAATGTATATCGGCGAAAGTTACTTATTGTCAAAAGATAATAGCAGCAATATCAATGTAAGATAAAATAACACAAGAGAAAAATGAAGTGAGAGATGATATTAAAACTATGAAACCAACCATGACCCATGAACAACAATCATTGGCTATAAGTCTTTATTTGTGAAAAATAATATTTACCATGAAATTTCTCGTTTGTACTCAATGGACATTATTTTCATCATGAATTAGGTTCTCTATTTTCACTAAATATGCTCTTTGTCATTCAATAGTATTTATTTGGTTTTCTTTTTTGAATTCATATGAATTTTGCTTTGAGTAAAACAAGAGGAAGTGTATCGTTACATAAATATTTATTGAATTAAATCTTTTAAAGGTTCAGAAATGCCTCCAGTGAAACAATCGTTGGGTTTAAAAGAATATTTAACTTCGCGTTTTTTGTTATTTAGAAAGCGTACCAACGAATAACTATCTGTAGAAATATTTTGTTGAGAATAAAATTTTGAGATCGAGATGAAATATATATATATATATATGAGTGTACGTCAAATATTAACAGTAGAGATTAATGCAGAAAAAACATTATCACGTTTGAAAATTTTGATTGCATAATCATACTTGGCGAAAATATTGACACAATTCTATTTGAAATAGGGTCTCTTAACTTTTCTCTTTCTTTCCTTTTTATCTTATTTAATAAACCATGACGAACTCTAATATACTAGTTATTTTTCATTTTTGATATTTCTCATATGTTTTTGCTTAATAAGCAAAACAGATGCACATTTGGGCCACTAATAACGCAGTTTGGCTCTTACATAACATGTCATACTATTTACGATCTGTCTCTATTGTTTAGAAAATAAAGATGTATCCATGGTGTAGATTGTTATTTTTCTTATCATATTGGGTTACTAAAGTATGAGATGAGTAGTTGGTAAAACTAAAAAAATGTTCGTAAAGCGAAAAAAATAATTCTGAACAATTTAAATAAAAAAAGACTTTCTTTCATAGCTAAGCACAAAGTCTTCACACATGTCAAACATACGACTTTTACTAAATGACAAACGGTCTTAGTTACTTGTCAATTAGTTAATATAGAATAGTCTATTCTATGACATAAAATAGCAAGCATACTAAATTGGTTACAATAAAAGCAAGTAATAAAATTTTACATTTCCATGTATGAATAATATTACTAGCTAAAAAAATGATCGTGTTCTATATAAAAATATGCATTATGACTTGCAAGAAAAACAATTTTCTTATTTTATTTTTTTTCTACTGAAAAACATCAATTAAAATATTAGAAAAAGAAAGTGCAAATCAAGAGCTAAGAATTTTTAATTTTCTTACAATTGAAATGATTCGTAAAATGAAAAACTAACGTGACTTAGGCCAGTAGATACATTAATAATAATTCATATATGGAAGTACTGTAAAAATTTTAGGATTTATTGAGCAAAACATTCGGTAGAAAAACAAAACTTGTATGGTTTATAATTACATTTTTTTATTGCAATTCGATGAAGAACTTCAATGAACTCTACGATCAAATTATTTGATTTGAGTCGTGCATTTTTTTTTATAAAACTTTTTGATTTTTTACGCTATAGAAAATTGTTTACTTGGCAATCTAATAAAACTTTTTCTCTTATGAGGTTATTTCTTCATTTGTAATAAGCCGCTAAAACGCACGTTGAAGCCAAGCGAGAGTGTCGATACGACTAGAAAATACTTAGAAAGGTTCGTACTGCTGAATAAATCCCACTCATAGGCAGAGCGAATGACTAGTTATTGTTTAGAAGGTTTCACTTGAAAAGGACATTTACTTGTCATGATATTAAATATTCAATAAATAGTTGATTACCATAAACATGAGACAAACGCTGAGCTCACTTAAAAAATTCAGTATCTACACAAATTAATATTCTCACTGAATAAAAACTTGCCGGATGTTTCGAGTGTTTTTAGAACTTATCTACGGGTCAACATTAGTGAAATAGTCATAATGTGGAATGTAGAAATTCATAGTCTTCGATCATTCCAGTATTTTTCTACTGTTAGTTAAACTTCCCTGTAGATTCAATATGAGTTTGAACACCGAGTTATAGTTCAAGTAGTTCTCTCGTTGGTATTTCTTTGTCTATCTGAAAGTATCACGTAAGTAAAAGAGAATATATTGAATAATATCGAATTTTTCTATAAAAATAATTGTTTCATCAGACAAATTTCTTTATTTAATCATTTAAATATCCTATTTTCATTTTGTTGAATATAATAATCAAAACATAAGTACATGTTCATATTGCATTTTTTTTTATAAAAGAAACGAGAGAAAAAACAGTTCATGATTAAATAAAGATGAATATTAAACAGATAAACCCTGAGCTTGATTTTGTTCGTAGAAGAGCAAAAACCATAAGAGGACTAATGAAAGATTCATGGCTATATTAATAATTTTGTTTTTATATCTTGCACATCAATAATCGGCTCGTGTTCACTTTCGAGTTTATTATCTAAATAGGCTAATAAATTGTTTATCGAACATTGTTCATGGCAATCACCATTAATAAATGGTCGAAATATTTCATTGTAAATATCATTTGAATATAATTTATGTATAATAAGTCGAATTTGTTCAATATTAAGCCATAAATCATCTTTGTGATTTTTCTTTTCACTCACAATTAAATTCGATTGAGCATGATTTAATTCAATAAAATATCCTATTGTTTCAATTGAATGAAATTCAAACGAAGAATTTATTAATAAATCATATAGAAGTTTTTTAGTTCTTGTCTGTGAAAATTCATGAACATTTTTCATGTATAAATCAAGTAAAGATTTTAATGTATCATAGGTTTTTTCCTGAAATATAATTAAATTAATTAATTGAACTATTATTTGTTTATCAAGATTATTTAATGGATATTCGATTGTATAGCGATGTTGTTTAAATGAATACGTTAAACGACGTACTATTAAACGTATATGATAGCATTGCTCAGATGTAAACGATAAATATTTATCTTCACATTCAAAATCATCAAGTGTTATGCCCAAAAGTGTGATTGATAAATTTTGAATTATTGTATATAAAGAAGCAGATGTAGTTTTTTTCGGTAATATAAGTACAAGTGGGCTTTTGTAAACATATGATGAATTAAGAAAATTTTCATATAATGGATAGACAAGAGGATTGGCAAAGTTAACCGTTCGTATAACATTTTCAATCTAGATTTAAAAAAAGTAATTATTGTTTTGATTCATAATAAGAAAATTTATTTAGGTCCATTCATTCGATTTTGTTTTCTATTCTATTATTTATTTGAAATTTGACTCTAGTTTTCGTGTACGATACATTCTATTGTGAAATATGATCTCGAAAAACCAAAATTGGAAGTAAACAAGTAAAAATTCTGATGTATTGGATCCGTTGAAGGCCAGCAAATGTTCTCTTAGTATACAATCGAGAATTGTGTGTCAATACTGTCTCTTTTCAGTGTATAAACTACTAATAGATGCATTTGTCAAATCCTAACTAAAACGATGATAAAACGTTGTAAACAATAATAGCAATCATAAATAGAATAATGTCATGCTCCTGCCCTTGTCAATAGTCGCGACATCATGTTTTGTACTTCAATCTCGCAACTATTGCGCTAACAGCTTTTATTTATTTATTTATGCAATTCACATTACACTACAGTAAATTTAAATAATGACAAATCTGTTTAGAATTTTTTCGTTAATAAGCAACTAACAATATGCGCATAAGAAAAAGAAGCTTTGATTTTTGAATGAGAAGTAAAATTTTACGCGATTTACAATATCATGTGTTTCTCTCTATTGTTAGCTATTAGTTAGAACAATTAAATCTGTTTATATCTCGACTTTCACGTAATATGTTTATTCATCATATCATCACAATATTTCAAGTGTACGATAGAAGTTATTTAACTATTATTTTCTTTTCAAAGGATGAAATGAGAAATCTTAAAAGACATTTTCTCCATAATGAAAACACTACAATACATTCAAATTCTACTTTCGTCCTACAAAAGTGTCATTTCATCGAGTAATAGCACCTAAAGACTTTGGACAAAAAACAAACAACTTAAAAAAATGCTTTACATATTATCACATAGTATTTTACTCGTTCGTAGAAAATTTTCATCATTAAATAGCTGTAAACAAAATTTTCTAAGTTCTTCCAGATTTCCATGATAATGACTTCGAATATCTATTACATTACATGACTATAATTCAGACATTAGAGAGTAACAAACAATGTTCTTATCTACTATTGTCTTACCGTTGTAATTAAGTATTGCTTAGTAATTGTATGTCCATATGTGATCGAATGATATACACGTAATAGTTCAGCAATGCGATCAATAAGTTTTCCCGAAAAATCATTCATATCATTTAATAATAAATAAAAAAGGTTGTTCAATTGAAATGACGATATGCTTGACGATGAAAATGATAAAACAAATTGTATAATGGTATTAATTTTATTAGTATTCAATATAATTTTATTGGTTGCTCGTTGATATTTTTCTAATTCTTTACTTATATTTATAATTGAGCTTACGTTAAATGTTGAAAAATGCGTTAATTCAACATTATTCAAAACAAGATAAAATAAACGTTCAATAAAAACGCGTTGATATTGTTGATGAAATAGACTAAAGAAAAATCAAAACAATTATATTCAATTAGAATTACATAGCTACTGTCCTACCTAAAACTACGAATATTCACTGGTTGCGTACGAACAAACAATTGAAACAATTGAATTTTCGATTGTAATAATATTTGTTCATCATCATCATTATCTAAATTATTGTCATAGTCGAATGATTTATATTTTGTATTCATTATAAAATTTTCATATGCATTTTTCAATTGTTTCTTTTCTTGTGGTCGAAAAAAATCATTATCTAAATGATAGAATTCTGGCAGCTCCCATATCGTTGTTGTTGTGGTCATTTGTCTATCTGCATACAAAAACAAACAATTCGATTAATTATCAATTGTTCATTGCCGAAATACAAAAAGAAAAGGAATTGCTAATATATTTATCAACGGAAAAAAACAAGACAAGACATGAAAAAGAAAACGAACAAACATATGAAAATTCACTAGTTCATTTTAAAAAGTGTTAGTCTACATAACTTGAAAAAAAACGTTGCAAAAAGAAACACTTGGACGGCAGATAAAAAGAAAGAAATTTATTTGATTAAAAAACAGATCCAGAGTTTGGCACCGAAATATAATGGTACAGCGAAGGAATGTTATTTTATTTAATGCGTTCTCAAAACACTTAATTTGCGAAGTTCAAGTTTAACACTCGATATTTGTTCTTCGACTCGTTCAATTTCTCGTTCAAGTACATCGTATAATTGTCGATCTATATTAGTTAAACCTCGTAATGGTATACGATTTAGACGGGCTTCTAATTCACGTTTTTTCCTTAGTAATTGATCAAATTTTTGTTCTAACTGTTCACTTTGTCTCATTTGTCTATCGACTGATGTCTACAGAATGCAAACGAATTTAAAAAATAAATATGTTGATTACTAAAATAAAATATGACAGTATTTACCCTATTAGCCATCGACTCTATACGACGACGATTTGGTGAAGTTCTTCTTGGTGAATAAGAGTGCCCTATAAATAAATATTAGATTATGAAATCAATTTTTCCCTTATATATTTTTTACTTGATGGTGGTACATAGGCTGGAGGAAAAACAGGTTTTTCATTAAGATAATCACTAATTCTTGTCATCGGTCTAGGTGAATGTGCATGACGCATTGAATTTTCAATATCTATGAACGATACAAAAAAAATTTTCTTATTGAAAATATACTCAGAAAATCTCACCATTTGATTTATATCTTCGAGAATCAGTATTTGTATCTCGTAGTACATTTGTTCTTGGTGATGTTTGTCGTGTTTTTGCTACTGCAAAACGTCCATATTCTCCAGATGTTGTCTGATTTAGAGCCATAGTTGTACTTAATTTATGATCATCATTTAGTTTTTAAATGAAAAATTGGATAGAACAAGAATCTATTGCATACTTGTTATTTATTCGATTACTATCATTTTCTAACACAAATAGTTGTCGTCGAAGTGTTTCATTTTCAAGTTCTTGTTCACTATAACGTTCTTCGAGTCGAAGAAGACGCTCCTACAATAAACATTAAACGAAACTGATTACTATTCAAGGCAAATAAAATTATTAAATTAACGTTAATAGGAGTTGGAAAATAAATTATAAGAAGAAGAAAATCATTTATTCTAAACATGGACAAAACCCCCCCGGATTAATAGGTCGCCTCACCCACTCAGGCCAATGACGAAACTGTAAAAAAAGAAAAAAAAGAAGAAATTAAATCATTTATTTACCCTTGTAAGATTAAGATCGGTCTTGATCTTTTCATTTTCTTCGCGATAGAGTAATGCCTGTCTGTCGGCATGGCGAAATTTTTCATCTTGTCGCTCTTTTGTCTAAGATAAGAGAAATATTAAGGAAAAACTCATTTAAAAATGGACTATCCATTTGAATAGACAATAGAAGAAGAAAAAATTTCTTTCGTTTTTTTTTTAAATACTCTCTTTATTGAACAAGTACGCACATTTTCAGCTTCAGTTAATTGTTGTTCAAGATGCACAATTGTATGATGATAATTTTTTAGATCAGTATCTCTACTGTTTAATTGTTCTCGTAATTCTTCTAATTGTCTTTTTAGTAAAGTGTTTTCTTCTTCTGTTGTTTTCTAAGAAAATAAGCAAGAACAATAGAAAATGTTGTTTTCATTCGTACAACTAACTAATGAATGGCGTAATTCATTGACTTCATCATGTAGACGAATATTTTCACTATTAATTCGTCCGATGGTTTCCACGGATTTGCGTGTACTACTTGATGGTTGACTACTAAAATAAAAATTTCTATTATAAAAACGAAAAAACAAAGCAAATCTTAATCATTTCTACCCCATTCTTGCCCGATTTAATTGACTTTTAAGTTCATTTATTTCATATTCATAATATAATTTTAAATCAGCTATATGTTTTGAATGTATAGCAGAAAGTTCTGTTCGGAGACTAAAAATAAACACAATAACAAAAATAGTGAATTCAATCAGAAGGAATGTATTAGTTACAGAGAGAGAGCAGACTAAAAAGAAATGAAGAAGAAAATCAAATTGACAGAAGGAAAAAAGAAAAGAAAATTTCGCTATCGAAATGTAAATATGTAGTATTTTTGCTTGATTCTATATTTATAGAAGTCAATTTTCTATCAAAAACAATCAATTTTAATTAGCACATCACTAATATATCTTACTCAAGGTCTAGTTGATACCGTTGTTCTTTTTTTTATTCAGTATAAGAGTGCACAATGAGATTATCAGCTTTGAATTTTAAGACACAGAAATGAAAAGAAAAAGCTTTGTTATTGAGCGAAATAATTCTGTTAAATCATAAAACTCGTTTACTTCAAAACGAAGAACAATTTTATATGTATAGATTGTTTGTAAGAATATCATTAATCGAAAGTACCTCCTTTCTCATGTCAATATTGATTTAAATCTAGTTAAAAATATTATAAGATATTTTATCTCTAACACTGAATTTTCATCATTTTTATTTCTTTCATTAAAACATACTTTACAGTATCTTCTCTTGAGCGTGAACGTAGTCCATGATTTTTTGTATCAATTGATCGCTTTTTTTCTGATGTAAGAATATTAAGAGTTGAATCTGCTGGATAATAATGTGAAATAAGATCTTTAGCTAATGATTGATTTTGACGAGTATATGAATGATCTTTATATCTTCCAATATTTGAATCAATGGGTACTGTTGATGGTGGAGGATATACACGTATTGGATCATCATAACTATCCAATCTTGATTCTTGAAAACTATATTAAATATAAGTAGAAGAAATTTTATAGAATGAAAAAAAAAGGAATTATTTTTTAATTTATTTACCCATTTGTTAGTGTAAGATAATCATCAAAACGTCTTTTCATTTTGTCTTCTAGAGTATGCATTTGATCTTCATATTGTTGTTGCTGCCTTTGTAAACGTGTTTTATGTTCATATTCTAGTCTTTCAAGTACATTCAACCAATTGTCCTATTTATAAAAATTCCAAAAAGAATATGATTATATCAATATTAAAATATTTACATCCGGTTTTCGTGAACCATTTGCATCTTTACGTTCAAAATGTCGTGCTGTTGCATGTCTTTGATGATGATGTGGTTTTTTTCTTTGTGGACTGGAACGTTCTTGAGCATCGGACGAACGTCGGTTACGCTGTTGATTTGATGAAAATCTAGCTTCATTATCATTGACACGATTTGATGTCTCATGATCAAGTAAATTAGTTGAACGCATATCGGGTGTTGATAAACGCATTGAGATTGAACCGATACCATCTGTTGTTCTTTCTTCTTTAGTACTTGTATTATATGTTTGTCGTTCTTGATCAAGAACTTGTTTTATTTGACTACTTAAATCATCAAGATTTTCATCAATCAATGTTGCCTGACTATCTTGACGTAATGTTTGCGGTAGAAACACGTGTGGTATTGTCTGTTGTGCTCGTGGTGATGGTGGTTTTTGCTTCGAACGCTGTAAATCATATTGAACAACAGAACCTGTATCGGATGATGAAGATGACGATGATGCTTGACGAGATCGATGATGAGTGTTTTGTTGTGGCAATTGATTCATTCGTGGTTTGACTTCTTCATCAGTAGATATGGATGGGTTTTGTTCTTGTGCTTTTTTTTGTGTTGAATGAGAATCAACAGCTGCATCAGAAACTTTCAATTCAGCTCCATGAACTAAAGATGTCCAGTCAAAAATTTGTTCTTGTTGTTCATTCACTTGATTTTGAGCTGTATTATGAATATTTCTATTCGTATCTGTACGAGGATTGAATGATCTATTCTCATTTTGATTATTATTTGACTGTTGTTGTTGTTGATTAATTAAACGTGGAATTTTACTGGATTTTGATGAAGGTAATATTTCCTATGAAATAAAAGTCAAACAATCAATTTATTTGAATAATAAAAAACTTTTTCGTATATCACTGTCAAATCATAGAACATATATTTCTTTAGATATTTTAAAAAAGATACTAATCAATGGAATGAGTGAATATGACTAATAAGATGAAAACAAAAACAAATCGGTTCAAACCTCTTGTTCATTATCATTAAGATCATAATTTTGTGTTGCTTGTTTACTTGTATCATCGTCTTCATCGAACATGTGTCTTTTTTGTAAATGATTATTGTTATCTTCTTCCATTGATAATTGTGATGCTGCTTGAATAACAGCAGCTAAATTATTCAAATCATTTTGAATATCATCAGCAGCATTCTTCAATTCCATCTGTTCTCTTGTGCGCCTATCACCATTATTAGCATTCTTATTAGTATTTGACTTTTGATTATTCAACACTTCATCACTTGACACTGATGAGTGTGTCGCTGATGAGCTTTCATATTTTTCATTCGATAAGAGTTCTGCAGGGTTTCCATTCTCGTTTCCATTCGATATTGAATCATTTACTTGTTCATCAAGTTCATCAGATAGGAGATTTGTTACATCAACCTGTATCAAAATGAAAAATAAAAAGCAAACACAATTAATTAATAATGAATAACAGAAAACAAATGAACATTTTCAACATACCATTTTTGCTCCACTAAAATCAAGTTCTCTTAACAATTGACTATATTTCGGCTGACTAATACGAAGATCATCTTTTTCATCGGAGCAATCGTTATTCTCATTATTGCGGTTTGCTTCATCATTGTCAACAGTTTCTAGAAGGGAAAAAATTGAAATAAAAAATTTTCTTTCTACATGATTTGTTAGTTTTCATCCAAATTTTGCTACGATGAAAACAAATATTGTTGTTACTGTGATGTCGAACAACCATTCAATTACAGAAATTTTTTTTCGCATGCAGATGTATGTACATACCTGCTTCTTCGTCGACTACTTTTATTTCTTCACTGTTCTCGTCGTTCATTTTTCTCTCTTGAGATTCAGTTTTTGTTTGATCATCGGTAGTAGAAATACGCGTGTGGTTATTCGCACCAGAGAAACCTGTTGTGAATGTTGTTGGAAGGAATACAAAAGGAACTATAATGATAAAATAATATCATTTTAAGTCATTTTAAGAAAATAAATAAACCTAGACAAATAACTTACATCCACCAGGAACAAAAAATGGTCGAGATGATGATGGAGGTGTATCTGCTACATCATCGTCTGCCATCTGAAAATAGAGAAAAAGAAAAAATTTCGTAGACAGACGAATTAGTAAGTAAGAGTTCATGCACACTTCTTGCTTTTTTTTCTCTTTTTGTATGACTTTCGAGAGTCTCTCAACTCAAACAGAATGTGAGAATGAAAACGAAAGATTCATTCCATCGTTCTCTCTCATACGCATATACTATATATATATATATATATATGTACAAGTTTCAATTGATGAAAAAATAATACTTCTCTATATTTTCCTCGTTCTGCTTTGTCTTTCGAAGAATACGCAATTCACAGTATAGTGATAGTAAAAATAAACCGTACAATAGGAAGTATCAGGCGAGTGTTAAAAAAACAGAAAACGAAGTATAATAATTTATTTGTTTAAAGTATACTTTTTTTTCTGTCAACATACACCAAGGTTAATATTCATTGTTACCAAAGTAATCTCTCCTTTACAATATTTAATGCAACCGCAAAAAAGACGACAAGCAAAGATGTTATAATTAATTTTTCATATTTTGCTTTACGTTCATATTGATTGATAAGGTCACGTGATGTATTAATTAAATGTTCATTAAGAATATACTTGTCGATTGTTGTTGATATTGTCGACGACGAATCAGCTAAATAAAGAAGCAAATTTATTGTTCTTTTCGTTTTTTTTTCTTATGAATTTTTAAATTTATTTACTAATCACATCCAGTGATTGTAGGCCAAGTAAATCAGCATCTTTTAATATTTTTTGTGCCTGTAATATTAAATCTGTATTACGATTTGCTTCTTGCATATAATCTACAACATAAATTATGTTCATGTGATTTATTTCTTTTTGGTTTATTTTTCTTGAAGTTTAATAAAGAGAAGGAAAAAACGAAAAGGTGTTTGATCTGACTTGTTTTATATATGCAGAATATTTTATTGATAAGAAACACTGTTGAAGAGCATTTCGATAGCTGTACTTAAAACTTTGCCCAATTTCCTAATCATATAAAGACAAAAAAATATGAAGTTAGTAATAATTAAATTTATAATTTTATTCGTTTTTCTTTTCTTCTTACCGATTACTTGTAATTTTTTTAATTGATGCCAGCATGAGTTTACGTTCTTTTTCATTCAAACATTTATTGTATGCTTCAAGAAGTCTACATTGAAATTTATATTAAGATAAACACAGTGTCTAACGTTAGTTTTTACTTCGATGGCGTTGGATGAACTTCTGTCAATGCCAATACATTATCTACTGACATGCCAGCTATTTGCATAAGAGCACGAGCAAACATTTCTTTTACTGTTGGAGGCTACAAAGAATTTTTTACAACTCAAGTACAAAAGAAAACATCAATGATACACACTTTGCTTTTAACAATGCCGGAATTGAATGATTCAAATGTCATAACATAATGATCAGAATCATTAAAAGATGTTCTATAATTATTACTCATATCATTTTCACTTAATATGTGTAAGGTTTTATCCTTATTGATGTGTAGACAAAAAGAAAATAATTTATTGAAATTATTAATCATAGCCAATGACTTACTTTGAAATGATTAGTCAGGTGTTTTGTCATTGATATTAAATAGTTAGCCATTTCAACTGGATTAGAAACTTCACGAACAAAAAAATCTTCAGCTACCTAAAAACAAAATTTGTTATGTTTTTTATGATTATTTTCAAGGTTTTCTAAAATTTTTATCACCTACCTGAGTATTGACAATAGCTTGATTGAGAGCAGTTGGTGTTAATATTCCAGGAGCATTCGTATTCTTTAGACTTTCAACTAAATAGATTAAATTTGTAATACCGCACTGCTTGAGACGAAACTGAAAAACGATCACAACGAATTTTATTACATTTGCTCATGTTTTAATTTGCGTATAATTTTCATTTACTTTTTGTTCATTATATCTTCCATCAATAATACTCTTTGACAGATCATCTAATCGTTTACGTTCAATAATATAGTCAAGAATAGCTTCTACTTTAATGTTTGTATCATGAGCTATAAAATAAATAATTGAATAGGCTCGGTAAAAACAAAATGTTCAATAGGAATAGTTTACATCGTATTGTCCAAAGAAAATCACCAATATTTAATTTTCGTACATCAAAACTAATGGAATTTTTTGTTAAATGTTCAAGAAGAACTTTTTGTGTTGGTCTTGATGCTTCAGCATTATCAATACAAAGTGTTATATGAAACGAACCAGGTTTTAATGTTTGTACAGGTTTCATCGGAACTAAGTTTGTTTTTACAGGCGAATCAATGATGCCAAGAAGTGTTGAAATAGTTGTTGGTTGTGTTGTAACATTTATTGGATTATTATTATTAAATAGTTTTGGCCCAGCACTGGATGTTTTCTTAATTGTTTTAGTAATCTTTCTAGTTTCATTACTTATTTTTGCTTGTTTTGCTGGTGGTGGATCAGTTCTATTATCTTCGTCGTCACTAAGATTAATCATCGTACTTGGCTTTTTTCTATTGTCAAGGCTTGATACTGAAACAGTTTTTTGCAATGTTTTTGTTGGTGTTGCTGATTTTTTATTTACATTTAATTTTTGATCAATTATTTCGCAAATTTTCTCACCGAACCCATGTAAAATTCGACAATCAGAACCTGTTTCTATTCGAAGAGGATATTTTTCTAACGATTGTAGTGCCTATTAAATTGAAAAGTTCGATAGAACCATGAAATAAATATTTTAAAATCGATTCGTAAACCTTTCGATAACAATGAACCGTTTGAGCACCATTCGCCTTTGCATCGTTATACAATTCTTTGACAAGAACCATTATATGATCATTGGGACAATCTATGCGTCTTTTTCTAATTGGTTTTATTGAATTAATTGGTAAGAACGAAGTCATTTCAAGACAATTGATCAGCAGATAAAAATACTGGAGTTGAATTTGAAGCCTTTCATAAAACTACTATTATCGATAGATATATATTTATATTTGAAAGCTGTATGAGTCATTATGCATATCTGGACCAATTAGCTTTTTATGAAGAGGTCACTATGCTACCCAATTGACAATGATTATAATACGTAGCAAATTTGCTTCATGTTGTATGCATCCGTCCGGAAGAGAGAGAAAAAGGAAAGATCGTTTAATTTCTTTAGGGGAAAAATGTACTCTTTACATCATCGAACTCGAACACCGATATCGCACCATTAATAGGAATCGTAAAAAAAACAGAAAGAAAAATAAAGTAACTACAGATCCACATATATTGTTCTTATTATTATTACGTATCGGTCAATCTTTGATTTGTCCTTGCTTTTCAAGCGTGATCAATAGTACAAAAAGTTATGTCTCTTGTTATCATTAAGAAAAATCAAAATCTTATTTTTTTCTTGCCCACCTTCTTTTTTAAATTTATATGATTTTTATTTAAAATGCATGAAATGAAATATAGACGACATTTAGATACAATCAAAGTGACATACATCAAGACAAGAAATACCTTCACAACAGCAAACAAAAAATTCTTTAGGGAATGCTCAGAAGTTTTCTATTTTCTAATTTGCTCGGGAATATAATAAAAAAAAAACAAAGTTACAACAAAACACGTTGAAAAGTTATATGTTTAATAGTAGTGATACAACAAACAAACAAAAAGTTGACAAAAATGGAATGATCTTCGTTTTAGATAGTTTTCATTCTATTTTTCATTCTAAAAACACTCATCTGACTAGTGGAGAGTGTCTATGGATTTTACTCACCAGAGATTCAACGAGGACCATTTCATTTTTGATTGATTCATTACTTTTTATAAGAGTAGATCATATTTAGTGGAGAACAAAATAAATCAATTGAATTAAGAATATCCTCAAATAAAAAAAGTAAAATATCGCCACTGTTTTGGTTTTGGCCTCATCAGCAGTACATGAAAAAAAAACCTTTGTAAATATTCATTAGGAGATTCACGAAACAAAACAATAAAAATAAGTGAAGTTATATCGATAGGAAACGAAAAACAAAAATCATTCATTTTCAGATCATCATTCAAAACCTCATTCAATATGTTGGTGGCTGATAATTCGATTGGGCTTGTTGGGTTGCCGTAAATGGTGGTTGAGAAAAACTACCAGCACCACCAGCTGGTGGATATCCACCGTATGTTTGTCCAGTACTTCCTGAATGATCTTCATAACTTGAACTGAATAAGTTTGAAAGACCTGCACGATAACGACGAAATGTGAAAAAAGACATGGCCCCCTGAATTAGGAAAAAAGACATGAATTTTTCGATTAATATTTTTCAAAATTCTAATCGCTATTTATACCCAGGATAAAATCGAAAAAAAAGCAAAAGCAATAGCTGCTTGAACATCGTTGCGACCATTCCATCCAGGTTGATCTTTTGCTGGCTCTACTCGCCATTGATCAGCCATGAAGCAAAACCCAATGAACCATAACAAAGTGAATATGACTAAAAACAAAACTTTTACTACATAAACAATAAAAGCACCATTGACCTTACTAGATGTAACTAGTTCTGTTAAAATGATTGCTTTACGTTGTGAAACATTCGATATATTCGGAAAATAGATATCAAGGACAGTAAAAGCCATCGATAGGAGAAATGCTAGAACACCAATTGCAGTACCATATCCACATGCACTTGAACCATTATAACGGCACACAGCATTTATGTAACCTTCTTGTGCAATACATGCAAAGACAATAATAGCAAAGACCTGTTAGAAATAATTATGATTAAAATTACTATTCAGGAATTCTTTATTTACATACCCAAGATACAATTCGTAAAATAGACTGTGGTTTTTTTATAAAATCGATTGGATCAAATGGAGTTCCAGCTCGACCTGCGCCAAATGCCTGCGGTTCCATTGATGGATTCATTGGATTTTATGCTTTCTTTTTAATTTTGCCGATGAAAAGTATCTTTAAAAAAGAAAGTAAAAAAAGTTACACTTTCAGTTTCTTTTTGTAACACAAAATAAATATAGACGATCAAATACTTGCTTCTGTATGGCAGGCTATAATCAACAAGAGAGAAAAAAAGAATTTAGTGATTCACTTCTGTTGAGCACAGAAAGCGAACAACAACAAAAGAATGTTATATTTTGATTTACCTTAACTGATGGCATCTACTGGGCATAGTTACTCAGAAAAATACAATATGCAAGAAAACTGATATTGTGTAAAGTATGATAGAAATGAAAAATATTTATTGAAATTTAGCTTTTCTAACAAGTGAGTAATGCAATATAAAGCGATGGCTTTTAATTGTTGCTGTTCAGATGTCACTAAATGTGGGTTAGGAATTCATAGTTTGTCGCTCGTATCGTGCTGTGAAACTGGAATTTTTTGAAAAATAGTGAATAACACATTATAGCATTTTATACTGCACAATTAAAGAGACATACTCAATGTAGCACATTGAAGAAAATAACACGAACGGTTGCCAAAGAAAATGTTAATTCTGAACTGAATAAAGAATTTAAATGTCGAGATCGTTTAAAATCTCAGCACAGTATTATGCAATTTTATCAAATGAATATGTCATTTGTCTAACTCAATATTGAAAATGAGGGAAACTAGCCATATTAAAATTACATAATAAAAAACGTCCTTTCAATTTTTATACTTATTTTGAAAGGTTCTTTTTTTGTTGTTGATAATGCCTTTGAAATGACTTTATGTTCTGCAGCATTAAACAAAAATGCATCGTCTGATTTCATTCTCTTTCGATTATTGAAAAGCACAGATTACAAGCTGTTGCTGTTGTCAAGTCATTGAATTTACAAGCATTTTACTAGAATTTTGTCAAGAACACTAGTTTGATGTTGAGTGTTTTCTGATTTTAGCCTATTTATAGGCTTCATTGAAGCATTTGTTTTTATTACTTTTTATTATCGTGATGATATGCTTTCGGTGTCGAGTCTTTCTAATTTGACAAAGAACTGTAAATTAATTTTGCTATGCAATGGAAATCTACTAACTTTTCAGAATGAATTGTATTATGAAAAAAAAAGGAGTTTCATAACAATGTAACTTTGTATGATTGAGTGATTGTTGTACACAAATTTACTATATACTTTATCACAAGTTAGTTTTTTGTCACATCTAGACACCATCGACAATTGGCAAATGTAAATATGTCTCTCTGTTTACTCACACTCAACAAGCTGCAAATATCGAAGTACAATGCAGCTATTTCTAGCTGAATGTCACCATAGAACTTAAAACTAGCATATCAAAGTCGGATTCTTTTGGAAAATTTGAAGAAAGTAGAATTTATTTTCTCTCTACATACTTTGAATTTCGTCAATAACTATGCTTTACGAAAGCACTTTTATACTATAAATAGAAGCATAGTGCAATTTATACAGTGACTCAGAAGTGAAAACTAGATGACCTTTGAGTTTTACTCGAACACGAAATGCGGTGCGAAGCTCGAATCGAACCTAATACAAAAATTAATCATAAATTCGAATATAAGAACACGATCAGATAGTTGGTAGAAATGACAAATACTGTTTAAGTAGACATTATGAAATTCATCACTACGAAAACTTCATGTATGAGTAGCGTCATGTTCTTCAAGAGCGATTTTGATTGAACATTTAATTACCTCATGATTCATTATCTCAGATCTAGTGTAAATGAATAGTCGATAGTAACTACTAACAATTGCTGATGACGTCATTTTAATTATCTCGTCACAAATTTCGTTCATTTTCGTCATTTTAGAACGGCATTTGTGAGCGAACGGAACTTCAGATTGAAGATTGGAAAGCACATGTTCTCAGTTCGACCTCGATAGTTCTATCTTGCGTTTAAACGAGGCTTTTTTTGTATCATTTTCGGTTCTCACGGTCATCGCGTCAAAAAATAACGAAAACGATACGTACGTCGAGAAAGCAACAGCAAAAGAAAACACGCGACGGACTACATAGATGCTTCTGCTTCGCGTCGTATTAATGAGTAATCGGAAGATTGGTTTTTTAACTATGATTATAGAATGAAAACAGTGACTCATGCCAGTCTAACGTCTGGTCAGATTCGACTGGATTGGCATCAGTATTGGTATTGATAAGAAAAATCTTTATCAATTATAAGTCTATCATCAAGTCTGTGAGATGAACTCATGTTTTTTATTATAGTAATCATCAAATTTATTGAATAATCAGGAGCAAACTACCGTCACGAAATATGCGGACACTTCATCTTGACGATAGCTTATAAAATTGCAAGACCGTTTTGCTCAATACTTCTTGATACAAAAACATTATCATCATTTTCATTCAGACGTGCCGTTGCTGTTGGAATCAAATAGTATACTAACGATGTAAAATAAGTTCGATTAGTTCACTGGATTCAATAAAACAGATGTGTAAAAAAAGCTAAATTAAAATCATATTTTTAATCTGATATTAGATTATCGACAAGATCTTAATTCACTACTAGTAAGACCTTAAAACAGCACTGGAAATTACACTTATTGAACACAATATTTTAGTAATATATATATATACTGGAAAATGATTTATCTGATTTAAATTAGACCACTTGAATAGCACCAATTTCATTTGGTCAAGAAATAGAATATGACCATTTATTCTTCTGAAAGACATTCTCCATAAACACATAAAAAACGAACGATTTAACTGAAAAAATCGAACGCTGTGAAATTGATCAGCAGACATTTTACTCGTAAAAGGTCTTTGTTAATAAAGGACGTGTTTCAAGAACTTATGCAGTTGTGTTGCTCTTTTGATTCAAGACATAATTGAATTTGTTGTTCATGCAGTTTTTTCAAGGATTAGATTTATTCTATGTTATTCAACTTGCAACTCAATGATAATAAAAATTTTATAATTTTGTATCAAATGACTGCAATCTGTAAACATTCTGAAATTTTCTTTTGAAGTAATTCAGGAAAAACAAATTAATATTATGCAGATTTATTAATAATAGTATGACATTCCACTAGCATGTATAAAACCCAAGACATCCTGATAAAATAGGCAAACATTCTTAATATTCTCGCGACTCTTTTGGATGTTTAACAAAATCTTAATGTGGTTTATTTCTCATCTCTTTTAGATTTTTATTGAAAACATGATTCCAACTGAAACGTAGATTCTTCTTTTTATATTATCAAAAATAAATGTTTTTTTTTTTGATTTAAACTAGTCGTCTGCCACCAGTTCTCCATGAAAGATTCTACGCTCTCATTATTATCATGCTCGCCAGAACTATCGGTTCTATTTTATCGTTAATAGTTATTTGTCTTCCTCCAAGTTCATTTTTCACATCAGACTCCTTGCTAATTTAGTTTCCAATATAATTGTTTTTATTCTACTATTTTCAATTGAAAAACCTATATTTTATTACAGAATAAGTTGAATTTAGTAAGGTAAAAACTAGGAATATACAAGACAAATTAATTATGATAATAATAATGATGATGATGATGAGATTTTGATGGATTAATATAAAATAAATGACTTCATAGTTAAATAAAAAGCGATGATTATCTTTTTCACAAAAAAAAATATTTCTGTTCATTTAAAGGCACAGGAAACACAGCAAAGGCCAGAATGATAAAAGTTTTCGATTGAAATCACGAACCATCACGATGTAAAATAATGGGCTACTTCTTACGCTTCATTTTTATCTAGTTTAGTTGTTTCTGTTTCATCTGTTTCAGCAGTATTTTTAATAGCATTTCGATTTTCACGTGGACCAGTTGTGGGACGTCGTGATGATGGTTCTCGACTATGTAGTTGACGGCTAATCGGCTAATTAATAAAACAAAAATAGGTGAATGATAAAATAATGTAAAATAACTCTTTTTACTTTTGATTCATGCCAATCAAGATCATACTTCGATATATTATCTAAATATGATAAATTTTTCGACCAACTCGATGACCAACTTGTTCGACTTATGTCTGGTTTACGTTCTACAATTCTTTTAATCATTGTTGAATTTTCTCGCGATACACGTAATAATTCACGGCGGCGTTTTTCATGATTCAAACTAACAAAATTAAAAACAATAAAATACGTACTCATGTTAATATCTTACCTTTTCGATTCATAATCATTATGATTATCAATGCTACCAGTTGTACGCATGATATTCGACATTTTTTCTAACAATATGCGGTTATCGCGCTCGATTGTTGCTGAGCGTTCTTCTTCAATCTTTGATACAGAAAAGAAAAACAATTCATATTTCATCTTACGAAATTTAACGAAAACAAAGGAAGAAACAACTTTCTATATAGCCTAAATACATAAGCGTACTCACAAAATATTTCAAACTATATTAAAGTCATTAAAAAATATGTGAAAGAAAAATAAACAACAAGATGTGAACATATACCTGCAATTTTTTCAATTTCATATGAAGATGCATATATGTTCTTGGCGGACGCGTATCAACAGTTGGCCGAGCATCACGTACCTAAAAATAATCAATAAATAGAAATTTAAAAAAGAACAATACAGAGCTAGTCAAATATGGTCCGTGTACTAATTTTTCGATGTGCTTGATCAAAGTTTTATTTTTAATCTGAATCTTCTAGTCGACTTGAAGACATAAGATCCTTCTGATTATTTTAATGTTGTTTGACCATCGAAATTTCCAAGATAATTTTGACGAGGATCAGATAATCATCAAAATACAATTCATTGCTACTTTCACGAGTGTAATCTTTTGAATCAGTGTCAAAACTGACTTTGACTAGGAAACGAATCTAAGTAGCTCGACTAACAAATAATATCTGTACGAAATAATATTCTTAATATTTCGTTTCAATTATCATCAGCTACAGAAATCCTTTATTTCATCATATAGTTATAGCTTTTTTGTAATGTTTGTCTTCGATTTCTTCGTACTCTCTTCGATACGAAACTAATATTTCGAATTGAAATTAACTCAAAAACAAATTTGTGGATTTCGAAAACGTATACTGACTATGATTATCAATTTTCTTCTTCGTCTTTCATCAAATCACTTACCAAAAGTCGATGTTCAGAAAAATATTTATCATCCCATCTTTTTTGAAGAAGCCGATTAGCAGATGGACGTGTTGATTGATAAGATTTATGCATTGATTTATCTTGTCTTTTTGTATATCTAGAACTACGTCAACATAAAATGAATACAATACAATACCCAACAACGGACAAAAACACAAGCATTCTATCTTTTTTTCTTTACATTTCTCTCTAAAAAAAAACAACAACAATGAAATCAACAAAGTTTATCCTGATGGTGGGCGACTGTTATTTGCTGCGAGAACTTCTTCAAATTGCCGATAATGAAAACGACTTGATTGTGCTGTAACCATAATACTTACAGCATAGATACCAAATACTGCTTCTAACACAAGAAACGTTATATATATAATTTCAACAGAAAATATAAGTGACAGTTGAACTGTAAGTGTTGCAATCAATGGATAAATAAGTAAAAATATGCTTAATGGTATTTGAAAAATAATTGTTAATAAACAAAATGCTGTTAATTCAGGCATTCGTTCAGCTAAATTTCCTGTATAGCCCAAATATAATCTAATAATTTCAATAACTGCTTTAAAAACAAATGTAAAAACCATCAAAATAATTGGGTTATTGTCAACATTTAATGTTAATACCGGCAAAACAAATGTTAATGAGAAAAGCCAGCATGGAAAAAAGCAAACATTAAAATATATCAACATTTGTAATGGTAAACTTGATGAATATTCTATCTCAATTCGAGCTTCTTGCGATAAAAGATTATTTCCTGGTTTCATATCATTTGTATCCCTTGGTGTAAATACTGATGTTGCGAATCGATTGAGTCGGTCATTAACTGACCGTGGTAATTCAGGTGGACGACGTAGCATTGTTTTTTCAAATGTCGATTGAGAGGAAAATGAATGGCATTACCATTATGCAGATGGTTGCTGTGACAACAGATGAGATTATTTTAAGAATACCCATCGCAGAAAGCTGTAAACACCATATATAGTCATTTCGACGATAGATGTCTCAAGTTTTCGGAAGCATGTTTCTTCAGTTTTATATATATTCTACATAATTTTAAAGTACATACCATCGATGATGAAACTTTCACAGCATCAAAAAAAAAAATAATATATAATATATTAGTTTCTTTCTGATATATTTCGATTTAATCGAATAGATATTTTTCCTACGTAGGATGAAAATGAATTCAAACTCTACTCATTGAAGCCTATATGGTATTGAAGCGAATACCAATAAGTTAGTCAGATGCCGTAAAGTAAACACCTATCTCATTACATATATGTACTTATGTTGAATCAAAAGAAATGCATATATGATTTCATTCTATAGAAAAGAATTCAATTTAATTTACGTACTACTTCGCATTCAATCGAAATTCGAACAATTTCATGTCAACATGCAAGATATATTTGAAAATAAATGATTCTTTTATATTCGTTAAAGAAAAGTTTCCTTCAAAAATTATATTGAGTATATTTTCTATTATTTGAGAAACGATTTACAAGTTCAATATTTTATTTTAACAGATCTATCATAGTTAAAGAACAATAATATGAAAACACAATGATTGATATCAATTTTCATTTTTTAGACATTGTAAAAAGACAGCAATTATCTACATAGACAACAAAAAATATATTCTATCTGACTACGATGCACATTTTTTCTTTTTACGAATTTTAGGCACTTTTACAGGAGATCTATTTTCTATTTCGTCAGATCTATATTCTGATGGAGGTAGATTTTCATTATTTTTGTTGACACCGACGACAAATGTAGCATTGGCAACAGCAATAGGTCGAGCATTGGATGTATTTTGTAATGGTTTTACATTATTCGTTGTTGCTTTATGTAAATTTGTTTTTCTATTAAAACACAAGAAAAAAATATGATCAAGTTTTCTTTTTTCTTTTCGTTTTCAGTCTACTTACTTAGCGATTGTTTGTTCTAGTTGTTTCCAATATTCTTTTTCTTTTTGAACAATATTTTTTATTTGAAGATTATAATTATCAATTTCATTTTTTAATATTTTTAAACGCTACAATGAAAATGAACATGTCTTGAATAAATCAATAAAAATGACATTGCATATTCTATTACTTGTTTTAACACTTCAGCTAATGAAGTAGAATTACGATAATTATGTAATATTTGTTTCTCATGTTCTGCGGATTGTAGCGCACTTGTTAAGTCTTTTTCAGTATATCTTAATTGACGGCATAATCGGACTTGAACTTAAGAGAAAAACAAAGCCTCGAATTAAAATAACTTGATCACCAATGAATCTCTTACCAATAACAATACTTTTTCTAATTAAATGTTTTGCTGCCGAAAAAGCAGATTTATTCTTAAGAAAAAATTCATTATTCCATGTCGTACGAAATTCAGTAACATCCGCTATATCCATCATACTATCTGACAAATTTAAAACATCTGAAAGCGAAGAAAATACTAGTATTTGATTCTATATTGCATAGAAAATACTTATGTCATATTTTTCGTTTTCGTTTTCTGTTTTTTTCTTAAGAAGATGTGTCAAAGAAAAGAGCACACAACCAAATACAGATTTAAAAAAAAACAAAGCAATTGATGGAATTAAGAATAATAGCGATAACAGACTTTTCCAACAAGAACAAAAAAAGGCGAGAAAAAAAGGTGCACATAGGAAAAATTTTATTAATTTTCAAGACAAGCTATACAAGAATAGGATCACTTTGCAAACAGATATAAATATATATATATATATATAGAGAGAGAGAGAGGGAGAGAGAGAGAGAGAGAGAAACAGAGACACACACTGAATAGTTGCATGATTCAATTTTCTATATTTTTGTTTCATTATTCTCGATCTTTCTTCATAATGAATATTGCAACAAATAAAATATTTCTGGACTAAATAGCATAACAGAATATATAGGATCCACCGGCTTTGAGAAACCAATCAAATACACTGTTGAGTCATTGCGATTAAAACACTTAGAAGTTCGAAGAATATCAAAAAGAAAAACAAACTTAAAGATCGACAACATGAAAAAACTATTCACAGTCTGATTGCCTATGTTAGACAATAGTATAAAAAGCAAAACTAAAATTTGATTTATAACATAGTATTATTTTTATCAGCAAAGATCACAAAAATCGATATTCGATAAATCTTTTCTAAGCAAGATAATTTATATTTTTCTTTTTGTTTCATTTTACTGCATTTGCTGTTTCTTCGAACTAAAAACAAATCAAAAGAAAAAAATTAATAAATTCTTGTTTTCAATTGCTGATGCACATACCCAAATACATACATATAAGCCATGCAAAAATAATATTTACAAAACACATACGTGCACAACACAAAACTACAAGTACATTTATTTATTGCTTACGTGTAATCTTTGAATAATACTATTGTACAACTGCGAATTAAGATCTTTTTCTTGAACACCTTGTAATTCAAAATTTCCATGAGTTTTCTAAAAAAAGAAAACAGAAAATGAATTAAAATTTACCAGAGAAAAACTTGAGAAATTTACTTTAACGATTAACATTAAACAAGCTAATTGATATGGGTGAAGACTTATTTCTGTTCTTTCACCTAACCACATAAATATGAGATGTGTTTGTTGTCGATACCATTCCTATAGTTTTTTTTATAAGATTTCTTCCATTAAAAATTAAAATCAATAGTAGAAAACAAACTTCAAAAATATTTAATGTAAAGATTTCATCACTAATTTTTTGACGTAATTGCTCTAAATTGGCATTGACACTTGAGACATAAGCTTGTCCGTCTTCATTAATGGGTTTCTAAAACAAAATAAATAAAATAGAATTGAATAAAGGCTACAAAAAAAAAATCTTCTTACGGTTAAAGAAAGTATTTGAGCAAAAAAGGATCCTTCATCGTAACGTGACAATTTTTTTAATACAGAATCAAGTATGCTAAGTAATTTTTGTATTAATGCTTTTGACATATCACTTAAATTTTTTTCTAGATATTCATCAATACGTGTGTGATATTGATGAAGATCACCAGCATGCAATGCACACAATTTTAAAGCCTAGTCAATAAGAAGATATTTATTAGTATAAATAAACAATCGGAAAACGGGGCGAATTGATTTAATTTACTTGAGCTTTACAATCGAGTATAACATTGATCATAACACAACATTCAGATGGTAAAAGATAATCGGAACTAGTACCACCAATTAAACCGCCTTTTTTCATCCACGTTTCAAAATGCCGCCATACTCTAAAATATTCATAATTGATTTTATTTCTATGAATACAGGAAAGTCAAGGTGCAACTATTGTATTGCAAAGGAAAACAGCTGAATATATGTAACTCTTTTATTTTATGATTTTACTAGATCATGATGATTTTCATAGTTAGTTACATAGAAAGTCTTTCGTTACCTCTTTGCACAAGCTTCAATCATATCTGAAGCCATTTGTTTGAGTCGTTTTTCAAGATGTTCACGAAAGATTTCATCCGGCTAAAAACAAACAACAAATAGTTATTATTGATAATAAATTATAAACAGAAGAATTACATACCCAATGTAAATCACGAATAAAACATTGTAAAGCATCAAGTTTCCATAGTATATCTTCGCTTGTTGCACATCCTCGACTACAGTAACAAAAACAAAATATGACAGTATTATAATTTCAAGCAAAACCAAAAAAACGATCATTAAAAATAGATTTGCATACTTTTTCGATTTCCAATTTTCTTTTTCAAAACCTTTATGTATTGATTGTGCAATACATGATTCCATTAAATCGACATAACGAACCACTAATGGTGCAAATGTATCACGTAATTGTTGGTGAAATCGACCATTACATAATGAGTCTAAAAAGAGTTTAATAATTTATTTATTGGGACTTGTTCAATTTCAACAATGAAAGATTGAAAAAGAAAAACAAACAGGGCTCCTAGTTTTTACCATGTAATCGAAGATAATCATTTAATAATTGAAATAAGGGAAATGCATCCCAACTTTCAATTGGTTGCTGATCAATAACATGTTCCATATCAACAGCAAACAAAGACCAAAAAATTTCTTCGTGCTCAATTAATAAATCATGATATTGTTGAAATGCTTCTCGATAGTGTTCAGCATCTTGTTGTAATAGTTCAATGCACAATTCAGCTAGATGAATTAAATCATCCACTTTTTTTCTAGGTGAATCGTCACTATTATAAACTGTTTCTAAATAAAAATTAAACAAAAAAATATATATGAAAAAGAAAAACGAAAGAAACTTTGGATGAAAATAAAAACGAAAGAATAAGACAAGTGCTTGTTGTTTTTGGGGGGATAAGAGTATCGAGATCATAGATCAACCATTTACAGCATGCGCTTTTTTATGGATGAACTATGGAATAATAATAAGATATAAGAAATGTAATGTATGATAGAACAACAATGCTTTATACAATACACATGAAAGCATTTAAATAAAATACAACATTGCGAGACAAAAGGCTGCTATTGCTACAATGAAAACTAGAAAATAAACTTGAATATTTACTTAGTACAAAAAGCAAAGTATCTCATTTTAAAAAGAAGTTCTTTTATTTAAAATTAATTAAAAATAAAGAAGAGGGATAAGAAAGAATGGGCAAAGCTTTTAATCACGGGACATCACTTAAAAAGGTAATTAGAAAAATAATAGACACATGAAATTTACCGTTGTCTGTTTGCTGCTGTGTCTCTCGTTCGCCTGGAAAAAGAATAGATCAATCGAACTGACCCATATACACTCTCACACATACATATATACTAGCAAATTTATTTCCAAATATAAAAAGTAATAAGAGAAAAAAAACGAACATTTGTTACAACATCGGAGCAACTAGCGGCAGCGATATAGCAAGAGTGCAATGGCAAATATACTGTTTTTTTTAATCCTTTAGATTTCATTCTCTAATTTATTGTGATTTAATCTCTTTCCCTTTCCTCGAATAATTTCTATTTTACCTTCTATTTTTGCTTGATCAGATACACGGGTATAGTTAATATAAGCTGCATTTTCAAGACATTTGCCAATAAAACGTCGTATATCATCACGGGATATTGGCGTAGCTAGATCTTTAGCTGATACACGTTCTAATAAACTTAATGTTGCTTTTAATCCACCATCAGGGCGACCAAATGGAAACGAAAATCTATAAATATTCATTTAGAAAATGTATTTATTTATGTATGCAAAGATAAAATAAATTTACCTAAAATTAGTAACTTGATGTTCAAGAAATAATTTTAGTCTTTCTTTTATTTCATTAAAACGATCTTTTTCTTCCATAGTAATTGTCGATACATTATTATCAGGCCTAGAAAATAATTAATTCGACTGAGTGGTGACTTTTCATTTTTGCATAAAATTTCAATGTTACCGATTTCCTGAGACGTGTGAAGCGCAAAAAACATAACTATAATGAACTAGTTGTGGATCAACCATGGATCCTTGTTCGGCTCGATCAAGTAAATCATTTAAATAATACAAATGTCTTAAACAACCACGAACACCATATCGAGAACAATATTCTAAATATGGAATAATAGTTTAATTTAGTTAGAAAATAATACAAATTTTTTAAAGAAAAACTGTTCAAAAAAATCAAATAACTAATTGAATTATTTATCATAATGATGATTGGTGCACAATTTATGTATTTGAAAAAGATCTGAAATCTTTCTGATATATCAAGCATTATTATGAAAATTATAATTTCGTGCAAGAGAGACCCGTACGATAATTCTATTTATAATTGAAACTCGTACCAGTTTTTGTGTACTCAAAAAGTGAGTACACTCTAGAATCGGTCAGTGTGTCCGTCCGGCCGTAGGCACGATAACTTGCGAAAGGAGAGTCAGACCGTGATGAAATTTTCCACACAGTTCAATCTCATGAATATCTCGGTCGAGTTCGAAGATGAGAAGAATCCCTCAAGAAATGGTTGAGTTATCGAAAAAATTGTCATTTTTGACCAGGCCATCCCTGAGGAGGAGTACAGGGAATTTTTTTCAAAAAATAAATCTTTCTCAGAATTATTCACAACATATATAAATCGACTCAGTTTTTAACGCTGATTCCGAATCTGATATTAGTTTTGAGCTAAACCGTAGCTTTCTGATGAAACATCGCCTGAAAAACGTCTCAAAATGCACAAAAACTGCATCCAGAAATCAAATTGCCTAGTTTCTCATGATAATTTTGGTGTTCAGACATTCTAGAATGACTCATATATCCCATGCACTTTTTGCAGTATACATAACTTTCGGATGAAATCCGAAGTTTCCACATTCATTTTATCTTTGATTCTAATATACGAAAAGGAGAAGAGTGAAAAAGTGTTTTCTCAGTAAAACTTAGAGATAAACCTACTCTATGCATCTCTAATGTGATACTATTTTCTATTTATAACTGATATAGTCTATTCAACTAGCGTAAGTTATAATCAAGTAAAAGTGAGATAAAACGAAAAGAAGGAATTCTTAGACTAAAGTGAGAATAGAGATTCTACACGATAGAGTAAGAAATAAGCTTACCCTGTACATGTCTAGTGTAAGATTTAAAATTTTTTAAGAATTAGTCCCTTTAGGACCGTCAGGGTATGGGGCAAACAAAGGCAAAAAAATTTAAGAGCTTCTCCTTTTCGTGAAAACTATAAAATTCATCGGATATATAAGGTCAATCAATACAATTATATTGTTCGTACTTCTCCATTTAAATCTTATAATTTTAAAAAGATGAGTCTAAAATATAGATTAATTACCTTCGAGTACGTAGCTTTGTCCTGGACTCAACCAACCCTAAAAGAAAAGAAACAAGAAAAAATTATCATAATTATGTAGACTAATTCAATTAGCATTTCTTTTTCTATCACCAGAGCTTTTTATCCTTTAGTATCTCATGAAATAGCGATAAAACTTACTTTTGAAAGCCTATATTTAAATTAAAATTTTTATGAACGAAAACAAGAAATTAAAAGAAGAAGAAAATTACCAAGGAACAATATGGGTCATTTAACCGATAATCAAGTGTTGCTGTTTGTAACGCTCGAAAAAGATCATGATGATCAAATTTACATGGATCACTTTGAATATATTCATCAAAACCCAGTTTTTTCGATCGATCTGAATCTAAAGGAAATAGAAAAAATAAATATATAGTAATGAATATTCTACATCAATTGAAAGAAAAAATTTTTAAAGTATCAAAAACATTCTCATGCAAAAGAAATAAATCATCACTTCATCTCTGCACATGCACCATGCTATGCAAATGTAAAGAAACACATTTGAAACGTCACATTGTTTAGCTGGTACAATTTTAAAGAGACTTTTGAAATAATTAGCTCTTTCGACGAGATCATATGACTGAGTACGCGAAACAGGTAATTGTCCTATATGGTATATACGTAGGCATAAATAGATATTTTTGTTTTTCCAATTGTTTCTCATTGAACCGAAAATTTAAAAAAATAGTGACGTTCTTACCAACTTGGTCTTTTTGTCCTGTGCCAGTAGTACCTTGTGATGTTTTATTTGTTGCAGTTACTGGTGGTGTTGGCTTATGTGATTGACCGGTAGCACGATATAATGCTTGTACCCAACTGTGTCTTTCATTTTCTTCATTGGTTGCACATGTTACAACATCACCTTCACGTACAGCTTTAAAGAAATATTTTGCATCGTGCATAACTAAACCTATTCAACGAAAGATATTATTTAATTAAACTAGTCTTTGTTTTGTCTTTATAAGCAGAGAATTTACCATTGTCTGGTTCAGCATAATCAACAGTATAACCTTCAAGGGGCATCATTTCAGTGGGCTCTGATTTCTTTTCACGATAACTACATATAGCAAAACAATATTGAGAAACCTAAAGCAAAATAAATTATTTGTTAGAAAATTGTATTTCATTATTATTTGTTGTGTAGTTAAATCTAAATTGAATGATAATTTTTATTTTCAAACTCCTGTAGTAGGCGACCGCATTGATCACCAGTAGAATCATCTATAAGTTTTACATTCATCTGAGGTGGTCGTGTTTTATTTGACATTGCTAACTTAACAAACTATAAATTTAGGCAACTATGTTTGAGTAGTTAAAAATTAGCATTCATTATTTATCTTCGTTTTTTTGTGTTTTTTCAATGGAAAAATTTTCAATTAATTCAATCATCATTTACATTGTGGTATCATATTAGCAATATTCAGTTTATTCAATATCGATAATTTCTTCAATATGTTACCCGAGCTTTTGTAAAGCTAGACCGTATAGAGAATATTCTATCAAGTATATTTTTTGATTATTTCAATCAAATGGACTCAGTGCTCTGCACATTCGTCGTGCTCGTACGTTAGTGATTGCACAATAGTTAACGGTCATTTATATATTTTAAGTTTTGTTAAAGTTATTCTACCTGAACGAGTGCATAGTATCGTCTTTTCCACGTTTTCCAGACATTTTTACCTCGAGCATAGCACCAACTAGAAAAAAAAGAAAACAAGTCACTCAAAAATGAATCATTTTGCTCTATGCAAATCGATACATACCCACACATTTTAAGATTTTGTGGTTTTTCCATTCGTACATCTAATTTAACTTTCAATTCATCAGTTGATGTGCTTTTATTTTTAATCATATCTGTCCACCAATTTGTTTTATTAAATGTGGGATCAATTTGCAATGTTACTTTGCCAAGTTTATTATCATCTAAGCTAAGTATTCCTGGATTTTCCATATAAAGTTTTACTCTAATTATGGGTAAAATTTGATTGGTAGGAAATTCTGCTAATGATTCCCAAACAGGTTTCCCAGCTTCAGCATGTTCAGTGCGATATTTTTCACCGCCTTCAACTTCCATGGTACAATAAACAATACGATTTGTCGGGATGGATTTTAATCCACGAACTTCTTTTACAGTTATGTTCACATTAAAATTTAATACAAATGCTAGTTTAGATAAGCCTGGTTCATTATCATCTAAATGATTATTTCCATCATTATGCATAGATTTGTTCGATGAATTGGCACCAGATAATGAACTGCCACCAGCACTTGTATGACGACTATGACCAGTACCACGTTTCGATCTTAATGGTTTCTGTTCTGAACCGCCACGCACTGGTAAACTTTCAAGATTGCTCATAAGATCATTTATGGTCTTTTTTAATTCATCAACATATAATGTATCCATTTCTTTATGTACAAACTTGGGCATTAGACCACGTTGCTAAAAAAAGAATTTTAACAAATTAGAAACATAAATTAATTTTCTGAAAGCTTTTTTCTAATGTTTAAAAATTAGTCATGCTGCGAAGTTCCTTTTCATTTAGTTCCATGCAAGCAAGTAACAAGAAAATGAAAACCTTTCTTGTCTTTTGACAAAGATCATTTAAGAGGTCCTGGAATAAGTAGAATTAACTTTGTTGGTTTATTATTATTTTATTAGAATTTTAGAGTAAGCCATTATGGGAATTAGTTGCAATTGCTTACTCTTTGAAGAGATTCTGCCTGTTTCATTCGGCCATCAAGTTCACGACGAATCGTTGCTGCTTGTTCATCGTTATTATCAAGCTATATACGAAAAATACATAAAGTCTAGGTAAATATTCGAAAATTTATTTTTCTTACTTGAGCACTATTGAAAATCATTCTAAAGAAAACGAAACAAAAACCATATATTTAACTGTTAAAAAATACTCTCAACAAGTAGTTCTAAAAATATTCTACCATTGACTATTCATATAAACAGGTTTGTCGGGTTAAAATTGAGTTATGTTCTTTTTTACTAATGACGTTTCTAAATATAATATTTGTAGGACTTCTAGTTGTAAATATTCATCAGCAATGTTTTTTATTTTTCAGCAATCATATCCATTACTTTTGCACAGAATCAAATCTAATGTGCTATTCTGTATAGAGTGATACGAGAATCAATGTTTTCGAGCAAATTCATCATCGATTTACAATTTTGTTTAACTATCTAGCTTTTCATTGGCTGCATTAGCACTGAGCTGTGATCTAATTTTCAATTATTTCTCTGTGTAAAAATTTGTCCAACCTTAATTTATGAACTTTCAGAAGATTAACCCATAATTTCTAACAGAGATTTTGAATTTCTATTTTTGAAAAAGGAAACCTTCAATATAGATGCTAACTTTCTGTTTTTCAAAAATTTGTAAAAAATTAATTAAGAAGGTTGAAAAGAAACAAGAACAAATGAATATCTTGTGAAATTAATTTACACATTAAGTTAAATTAAGATCGGTCTTAACTCAATAAACTGACCATGTCAATCGCTAGCGGCTAATAGCTTTTAGTAATTGTAAGCAATGAATCTTAGATACTTTCTTGTATTGATCTATTTAGAAGAGAATTCTTTTGAAACCTGTGATATTCAGAGAACATTCAAAATACGAAAGTAAAACTTTCTTTTGCTTTCATGCAATTCTGACTCGGGCATTTACTTTTTACAGGCAAAACTCAAATCTATGCCATCATTTAAGCTATCAATTTTCCAAATATTTATTTTGATAACGCTACTGCGTATTTACTCTTTTAAAATTATATAGAACTCTGTTGATTTTTAGTAGATTTTCTAATTCTTAATGAAAATTTATTTGAAACGTAACACTAATATCATACATTTCCTTTATGCCTTTGAAAATGGCATAAATTTTAAAATGACTCAATTTTATATACCATAAGAGGAAGAAGCATCTGGAGTTTCTTTATTTCTCTTACTGAAAACCATAAACGTCTAGTTTTTTGCTATCGGCGATTTCTTAAGGTTACATTCAGCATTTTATTTTTATTTTTGTAGGGAAATTAATTTTGATCAACCGTTATTAACCCTTTATTTTTACAGAACTTTTTGTGAACATTCAATTGAAAGCTACTTTTTAAACTTTTGTAAAAGTAAGCAAAGAAAACTATAAACTCTCTCAGAAAAGTCATGATTTGAAATTCTCATACTATTTTATCTTCTGCAACAGTGTGCTGGATAATTTAGTTTGTTTTTAATAAATTCATTTTTAAACTTACTGATGTTCAAATTTTTTAATATTTAATATATTTTGAAACATATCATATAATTGATCTTTACTCATAATTAATTCTGCTGATGTTGATATATAATTTGATTTTGATAAACGACGACTAGAATTATCTTGATCTTGATCTTGACCACGATAAATAGCATCAAATTTCGACATCCATAAACTGAGCACCGTATCTTTGCTTATTTTAAGTGAATCAATATCAGGTAAACTTCGTACACGTTTTTCAATATTAATACGAAATACATCACGAAAATCATCCGAACAACAACCACCGGATTGCACCATTTTGCCAATACGTTCACTTTTAAGAAATACTTCATAATATGAGCGAACAGCATTTATAAAAGCTAACATGCAGTTTAAGAAGAAGAAAAAAAACAAACCATTTTTTATTATTTATAACAATGCAAAAATGTGATCTTTTTTTTTACCTTCGTCTGCTTCAATGTGAGTTTTACCATTGAGAAAGGCTAAAAATCTTTCTTTGATAACACCATATTGAACAAGAGTTACTTTTAAATGTTTTCTTGCCATATCTGACGATTGTTTTGAATTAAATGGACATGCAATACAACGACAAATGAATACATATATTTGAAGACGTTTACGTTTTAATTCTAAATCACGTTCAACGCGTTCATTTTCTTCACGTTCTCGTTCACTTAGTAATGATGGTGATGGTGATGGTGATGGTACACGATCAATTGGCAAACCAGTTGTACTTGATATTGTTGTGCCTGGTGATGAACTAGTTGTGTTTGTTAAATGTGATATTAGATTATTAGAACTTAATCCTGATGGCTGTCCTTGGCTTGGATAAAATTTTGAAGATGAAAAGGATGTATCTTGAGTACGTAATGAATTTGTTTGTTGTTGTTGTGATGACGATGATAATGATGGATGTAAAGGTTCTTCAGATGATGTTGATGAATTAGTACTTATTATACTATTCGAATCAGTTTTCACCCTTCTCAATGGTTGATGCGTTTCTTGATGCAAATTTGCATGTGTCAATGAACCTACTGGTAATGAGGGTGAATCATTTGTTGAAATGTTTGGTATAGATGTTAATATACGAGGTGCTGATCCTGGTGATGAATACTGGTTATTCAGCAAAGGTGGATGATGAATTGGTGTAGTTTTCGATCCTGATGTTGGATCAACATGAGATAACTTTGGTGTCAATAATGGTGAACTAACATTAGAATAAGAAGGATTTGGATTCACTGATGTTGTTCGATTATGTAGAGGTCCTGAACGATGTGTAGATACCTAATAGAAAAAATATGAATGAAATATTTTATAATCTTCTGTCTAAGCAATAAAATACACATCGAACTTACCGGTTGTTGACCAATACCTCCACCTTCATGATGGCCGGCCTCTTCTTCCTCATCTGTGGAATCATGCAGCATAATTTGTTGTGTTCATTATTATACGTTAGGTAACCTCATCAATAAGAAGATAGATGAAATCAATATGGTCATCGATTTTAATTACATAGTATCAATGACATACGTATTTATATTTGGATGAAAATTATCTTTTTCTTCTTTATCTGAAACAAAAACAAATAATTGTAATAAAAAACAACAAACAATTAAGTATAAAGCGTATAAAGAAACAAAACTATCTTTGTTTTTTTTAATATAATAGGTCTTATTCAACCACAAACAACCATTGTCTATGTCGGTACTTACAAGCGCAAACATGCACGCATACTTCAAAAAAAACATACGTCAGTCATCAGCGGAGCCGTTCAATAGCGTGAGTATTTACATACAAGTTGGCTTGGTTACTACCTCTCAATTCTTGTTAGCACGACTAATTAAAATCCTTCTCTATTGCTTCCACAAACAGGCAAGCTGTCTGCTATTGGAAGTTGTCGTTCACGCTACTATGTTATTATTTGTTGTCCTTTCTTCATGAATACACGGTCTCAAGCTGCGTCTTTCCCTTCTATTGTCTCTCTAGAGAATAATTAAATTAGATGACGCAAAACGATGAAGGAGCAAACATTTGTGACTATATGAAAAAGAAAATAGATTTATATGAATATATGCATGTAAATCTTCTCAATTCGATAACCATCAAATTACAATGGGTAACAATCAAATAATAATATGAAGTGATTAACTTACCATAGAAAAAAAAATTCAATAGTATAGAGTCCTATTAAAGACAAATGGACGCGCTCATTGTTTATTTCTTTTTTTTCCATCATCTGCTACAGTTAGTCTTATCAATATTTTTTTTTTTCGTCATATCATTTCCATCTTTCTCTCTCTCTCATTTTATGTAGTTGACACAACATCATCTCATACAAGAGAATAGGAAAAAAAAACAACATGCGTTTGACGTGCTCGTACACAAGCATTCAAACGTATAAACTAGGTTTTTTTCTTCCTTTAGCCTTTTCATCTTCTTCTTGACTGTAAACGATGGTTTTCTATATGAAAAAAAAAACTGGAGAGAGTGAGAGAGAGACCGAGAGCATAGGGACTTAGTTGCCACGATCACATCTACTCAGAGTCAAGAGAATCACTAGCACTATCATGCAAACGAGTTACTTTAATAATGATGATGGTATTTTCAGTCAGTATTTTTTTCATTGTCATTATAAATACAGATGGTATTCTAAAACTAAAAAAAAAAACTTCTTTTTAATGCAACTGTCAACATGATCAGATGATCGCCTTATCAATGTCTATAATAACACAGTGAATTGTAGTCAATGAAATTTAATGAACGGAACATCTTTGATTATAGGGTCTCAGCATATCAACACACGCACATACTCACTCGAGATGATGAACTGAGAGAGGAAAAAAGGACAGGAAGAACGACGAGAATCGCTAATCGATTAGATGCAAATCCTCCTCGATAGAAAGAAGAATGATGAGATGAAAACGATTAAGGACATGAAATGCTCACAAACACATAGAGAAAAAAAAAGGAATGAGTATGAATATAAATGTAAAAGAAACACCTTTTTTCTTTTGTTCTTCTTGTTACATGTGATGATGATCAATGAATGAAAAATTAATGAAAAAGTTAGAGGAACAACATATACACAAAATAGATCGCAATGAAAGTCATTGACCTTGGCAGATATAAGAGACGAAGTTATATCAAGTAAAAGGAAAATTCTTGTGGGTAAATCATTGTATCAATTCGGCTTCTTGTCTTAATACCATTTTTTCCACACGCTCGCACCTGATTAGTAATGGCAGACAATTCTGATGTGTTTCTAACAGATTTGTCAGCAAGATCCAAATAAGAAAACGAGAGCGTAGAAAAAGAAAAAAAAGAGAAAGAAACAGAAACAGAAACAGAAACAGAAAACGAAGAAAGCGGATTTCTTTTATGTTAGTTAACAATGTCAGTGACAGTCTTATCTTGAAACAGCCGATACTATTTGTTTTTCATCAATAGAATGGTTTGAAACGTCATGCTACAAGCATTACTACATAAAACAATTTTTTTTAAAAGAAGCAAATGTTCTGCTATATATGCATTTGCCGAGTGCAAAACAAACATCGATTGAACAAATGTTTCTGTGTACTAATCAAAAAAAACTTGTCTTGGATTTTTTTCCTCTTTTACATCGGCGTTCTCATGTAACGTTTCACGCATATACCCATAGGATCAGTTTTCTTCTGGCTGGCTTTTTCTTTCTCTTCTCTTTAAAAGACATTGAGTATTTACTTACATATTACTGGAAATGAATAACGATAAGTATTCATAATGAAAAAAAATAAGAGAGAGAAAAGTTTAAAATAAATATATGATGTGAACAAGAAATAGGAGCTTGAATATTGAGAGGATTAGCCATGACTGATGGAGTATATGTGCAAAAGCAAATGTATTAGAAGAAGAAAAAGAAGAAAAAGAAAAAAAGCGACAAAAATGAAATATACTACATCTAACATTTGTGTTCATATTACAGTTGATAAAATAATCAAAGATCAGTCTGTCATTGACACATATGAAAAGTAACTTACATGAAAGCGCATAAAAGGCAGATTATCGTGATTTATTAAAATGAACTATGCATATTGACAAAAATGAATGTGAAATCAATCCAACATCAATATACAAAAAGTTCATAGTAAACTTATAGAAACATGATAATCCTAATGGTAGAAAAAAAAAAAGAATCTAATTTATAATAAAAAACACGTTCTTCATCAATCAGACAACTAGCTAGAATAAAAAAAAAAGAACGGAACAAATAAACAGAAACTAGCTTTGTCATTGGTCTAATAAATCAAATGTGACATCTAGATGTAAAAGTAATATCTTATTGGTATATTAATGAACCAAGCATTTCAAACGACGATCTGTCATGACATTCTTTTTATTTTCATATTAAATTCAAATGGCAAATTACGTCAGTATAACACCTCCAACCCGAGCAAATATTGTTAGTGATCATAAATATCGTCTACGATATTTTAAAACACCAGCTTGGTGTCCTTATTGTGAAGATTATATATGGGGCTCCGGCAATATAGGCTATCAGTGTACAAATTGTGGTGATTATTTTCATGTTGAATGTACACTTGTTTTAACATCGGGTACATGCCCTGGTTTAAATGCATGTCATGTTAATAATCAAAATTTGACGACATATGACACAAGTATACCAATAAATGATTGGACAGTAAATGATGTGTGTGAATGGTTAGCTGTAGTTAACTTATATCGGTATGCACCTAACTTTCAATCATTAAAATATGATGGTGAAATTTTATTATCATTGACTGATGAACAATTAAAACATGATCACATACATGATGTTTATCAACGGCAAGCCATATTAGATGCAATAAAAGAATTAAAATCACGTGAGACATATCGTCCAATATCATTTGAACGTTTTCGTACACAATTATCAACGAATAATCATGGCGATAATTTTATTTGTACAACATTTTATGAACGACGTTCATGTGATTTATGTGAAAAATCTTTGTATGGAATAATTCACCAAGGTTTACAATGTAGCCGATGTGGTCTCGTGATGCATCGGCAATGTTCGAAATTACCATCAAAACGTTGCGTACATACAAATAAACAACTTGAATGTCATACCATCATTGGAACAGATTTTAATGATCAACCTATTGATTCTAAAACGCAACTACCTGTTATTATAACACGTTTATGTCTAGCATTAGAAAATATCGTCGCAGATAATCGAACACTATCGTTAATTGATGCATATCGTTTTTCAATTGAATCAGCACGTATTGCTCAATTACGAAAATTAATAAACGATAATGTATGAAAGAAATTCTTCAAATTTTGGAATACATATTTTAATAAACTTTTTTTTTCTTACAGGATATTGAAAAAATGAATTTTAAAAAAATGGAATTATCAGAATTGGCTAGTTTAGTGAAAATTAGTCTTAAAGAACCAGGAATAGGTAAGTTGATTTCTAGTAAATAATGATCTATTAAAAATCGTGGAAGTATGACAAGTCACTAAATCAAATATTTTAATAAAGAATTTGTCATAAGAATGATTTATATGAATTGTTGATTTATGTCACAGGAGAACGAGAGGAAAAAAATTGGAAATGAAATAACTAGAATAAATGTCATGGAAATGAATAGAAACGAATATGATTGATGATCTTTTTTCTTTGTCTATCGTATTCGATAGAATAAAATATTGTTGAATCCACTTCTTATATGATCAAACACTAATGGATTTCAACGAGGTGTTATTAATGTATAGAAGTTATGATTACTATTTTTGTTTTGTCTACTTTGTCAAATCGATGGTTACATGTTCATGCTATAGAATATTCAATGAATAGAAATAATAATTTGTGGATTAATTTACTTGAATAATGACAAACGTTTTGTTCAGTTTGCCCTTTAAAATATCTCGTTTGGTTTGCCACACTGACCACTCACAATCTTTTTTGAGAGACTTTACTGATATTCTAAGCAGTGCTTTTAATTAGATTTTCTTTTCTACAAAAAGAATAATTAAAAGCTTCAGGAGGGCAAACATCGACGTTCGAGAACATGACTATGCATTGTGGGGTACAATAATTTTTCTTACATACCAGAGGAGAGCTCGACCAATCTCCGGTTAGGCACGACTTCTTCCCCACGAAACGTTGATTTTGAAAAGAATGTTTGGAGTTTCTTCTAGACGATGAATTTTGATCGCTTTTGAAGCATTCTTTCTAGATACATTCATGTTCTATTTGATCCTGATGTTTATAACCTATTGAGGAGAAAAGCATTGACGAACACACAGAATGTTTGAATGAATACATTGTAAAAATATCTAAATGGGCTAAAGAATTTGTTTTAATTTACGATAGAGAAATTCTTCTAGCATGTGCAGTTATTTAAGTTAGTTATGTCGTTATCAAGTAGTATTGGTTAAAACTAAAAATAGGACATTATATTTTCGTTTCTTTCGAAGTTAAATTTTTCTGTATGATAACAATAAAATTTATGAATTGAATGGCAATAACGTGTTTGTCTACTAAAAAATAAAGAAAGACCCATTGAAACATAGACAAACATATGTTTTCATAGTTCTTGGATAAAAAATTGCTATCAAGTAATTATTAAAAATGCATAACATGGATTTTAAACTCTCCTTCATTATTATACATTTAAATTGAAAATATCTATAGCGGTTCGAATAATTAATGATCGACATCACATTTTGAATTTTTCTGCAATCCTCAATCATCCATAAATACTACCGATGATGAGGAGTGGAACAAAACAAAATAGTCTTGCAGTCTCGTAGAAATTCTGACTATAAGAAGTGTTGTTGTGAAAATTGTATAATGTTCGAATTATTGTTGAATGCAATGTCAACATTAGATTCACTGTTTGGATTCTTAATGTAAATTAAGAATACAGAAAATATTAGAATTTAATCTGCAATCAATCCATGCAGTTACGGGAACGTGTCGTATTTTTCCAGAATATTTCAATAAGATAATTTTCTTTCATGTCAAACACTACTTTAAGCCATATCAAACCAAATGATTAACTCTTTGCAAGATTAAAAAGAAAAGATGCTTCCAGCGAATTTAAACCTCTGCACGAATTGTTTTACATTCAAATGTCATTCTAACCGGATAAAGATAACTTTTAAAAATAACTGATTACATTTTATTCAAGAAACCCTTAGAGTGGTTCAACGAAAAATAGAAAAATATTTATTAAATGTGTCAATTTGATGTAATATCTTGTGTACTCTAATGATAGCCATTTCGATATTTTATACAGGAACAAATCATCTTTGTAGGTATTATACCCGATGAAAATTATGAAGATTTTCTTAATTTGGTTAATGCTCCAAAACAAGTGATACAAGAATTTGTTGGCAAATATTCCATGCCGTTTTATGTTGATTTTCTTAAATTTATTATGTGTCACATAATTCAAATCTGGAAACTTGATTACGATTTTGCCATGACAAACATAAATCAACATCATACAGTAAAATCGTATGAACCTGAACGTGTCGTAGATAAACTTGTTGCCATCTTTAAACAGCTGATATTTCGGTAATTAAAAAGAAAGCAACAAAAAAAGCACGTTCTATATATGATATTTTCATTTTAGACCACCATGGCCAATGATTATGTCTCATTCACGAAATGATAAAGATCATGTTCATTTATTAAAACGTTTTATCTATGAAATTGATTGGGGTGCTGAACGACCACCAGCAACAGTTTTACAACAATCTCCATCAACCAATGTACCAAGATCTGAGCAACAGCCACTTGATAAATATCCATGGTTTTATAATCGACAGGATAATCAATCATTAACTGACAAACTTTTAACAAAATCTTTAACAATTAATGATGGTGATTATTATGTACGTTTTTCAACTGAAGCCAGTGTATCAGCACCATTTACACTCGTTGTACAACTTGATGGACAACAACGTTTTATAAAAATTTGTATGAATAAACTTGGACAATATGGTTTTTCATTAATTTCATGTTTTTTTCAAACAATACAAGAGCTAATCGAATATTATTCACAGAATTCTTTATCGAAACATTTCCCTATATTAAAATCTGACATGAAACTAGGTAAACCGATTCGTCGTGATATATTTTTAGCTCATATAAAAAATGATGATTTGGATAATTATGCTGTTGTACTATCAAATATCAATGATCAGAATCTTTTACGCATCGCATTAATTGAATTAACTAATAAATATAATGAAATTGAACGTGAATGTACGTCATGGAAAACTGAACTCGACCAAATTATAACATATATGAGTGAAATACAACGATCAACTATGGCATATGGAAGGTAGAAATCATTTCATTGCATCACTAATATGAATATCAAGAAAATACTTAGAATTCGCAGTGTATTGCAGTAGTAATTTTACAGCACTAAATTATGAGCCAACAAATTACTTTTTAGGTTCTGTATAGTTCGTTAGATTTAAAAATAGCATGTACTCCTCAACTGAAGATAGTTAATTAGTTTAAGAGCAGTATACATGGAGTGACAAGTAAATGACCAATTTGCTTTATATTTGATAGTTTTGTTAAGATGTATGTGTCCTAAGTCAATGAATAGTTTATCAATGTGGAAAAATATATGTTAAAAGGAGAAAAGGTGTCTGGAATTCAATTTACATAATTATGTCAGTAATTCATTTGTAAAATTAGACTAATGTACCATCAATTTTGTTAATAGAATATTTTAATTAAAGAAACATTAGCTTAACAATGGACTATGTCAAAAAATTCAATTCTTTGATTAATCTAGATAATAGAGTGGATGATGTGTATTTCTTTAAGACAACAAAGTCAAGGACACCATCAAAAATGTAACTGGATCAAATAAAAAGAACGATTTTTACTTGCTCTTTTCCCCCATCATCATGCCATTATAGATTGTATATCATCCTAAATAACTCATGCAGATTAATTCTAAGTATTTGAATTACTGAATTGATAGAAATGGGACAAAAATAGATAAAACTTGCAGTGTAATTTGCTCAAATTTGATTATCAATAGGCAAAAAGACAAAAAAATTCACAACTATTTCTTTACTTCTAATTAGTTATTTGCAGTTATGCTTATAATTAAAGAGCGCTTATGGTTTAATTTAAAATTACATCAGATTATTTTTAAAATAGTTCATATACTGATGCTGAAAAGTTTCATTTTATGCGTTAATGATTTTATAACAGATGTTTTATTTTGATTCTTTTCAATATTTAGAATTCAGATGATTTATGAAAAACAAATGAAACTCAATCGAGATAATTTTCTACTATGTCAGAAACAAACAGAAAAAAATGAATATGAACGTTCATTTAAATATCTTGAACAACGCGTCGAACAATTTGTTAATAATATGAAAAAATTAAATGAAACTTATACTGAACGACAACTGAAGCGTGATCAACTATCAAAAACTCTTGATGCAAGAAAAAATGATATAATCAGTTATGAAACTAAGATTGCTATGTGCATGAAATTACTTGCTGACAAAGGTGTTGAGCAACATGAAATAAACAGGTATATAGATGAAGATTTTTATTCATTTCAGTACACACAATTTATTTTATCGGAGAAGATGTGCAATGATTAGTAGATTAAAGAAAACATTTTTCAATAAGAATTTTGAGAGGAATAAAACTTTTACATCTATATTAATATTCAACAGTGTCAAATGATGGTTGATTTGGGGGTAATATCTTATCGCCAATTCATCGTTTCGCCAATTGGCGAAATTCCTCACGAAATTCGCCAATGGGTGAACACAAGAAAGTGAAAGTATATTATTTATTGGCGATTGTCACACTAGTAATTCGCCAAATCGGCGAATATCACACTAGCAATTCGCCAATATGAATGAATTGAATCGGAACTCAAGTATAGTACTTGATATTTCTAGTGCACAAACTGAATTAGTCTTGACGCGCGATTTTTGAGGCTACCTGCTTCTGATTACAGACATTAATGAGTTTAAAATTGTTCTAATTGGAATTTAGACCAAGGGGGGAAAAACTACTCCTGGATCCTTGGATTCTGACGGCTGCTCATAGATCTTGATGGATTTTATGGATCCTAGCAGATTCTATGAATCTTGGTGGATTATAGCATCCACCAAGAGCCACCAGGAGTCACTTCCTCCCCCGCCCCTTGAGTTAGACTAATTAGTTTGTTATTTCTTCTATTTTATTGCATATTATACGAAAAAAGCAAGGCCTGCCCATTACAGATATTAGCAATACAGAAGAGCTACCATGTCAGACCATAGCAGCCAGGTATGGGCACTATTGCAGAAGTAATCTTGGTCATCGTTCGAGATACGAAGTAACAAGTAACCCTCCATTATTGGTGTAAGTAAATAGGTAATGCTCTAATATAGAGTTTTGAAATTAAGATAGACTTTTCACTAGGTATTTTGCATTAGTTTAGTAAGTCTAAGGGATCTGTGCGAGTTCCATAATTGCCCCGAAGGGACTGTGCTAACAAGCTTTTTCATATAACTACCACATTTCTTTCTTTATTTGAAATAAAAATAATTTCAGCAAACTGAGCTTAGTTCGTACATTCAATGATTACAATTGGCGAATGTCACACTAGTAATTCGCCAATTTGGCGAAATTCCCCACGGTATTCGCCAATTAGTGAACTCAAGAATGTGAAAATATATTATTTATTGGTGAATGTCACACTAGTAATTTGCCAATTGGCGATTTCGTGAGGAAGTTCGCCAACGACAAATATACAATTGGCGAAATTACATAGACTCGTTGATTTGATATTTCTTAAAGGAAAATGCTATTGAGGTTTTTGTAAAATTGATGCCATTAAGTCAAAATTTGATATAAGAAACTGAGAAACGCGTCATTTTGTAGAGAATCAGTTGTTACATTGTTCTGGAAAACCAAAAGAACTTTTATCTTAAGCTTTTGGGTACTAGAAAAACTAGGTTTGAGTATTGTAGACACATTCGATTCTAAAACTACTGCGAAGATATTATTTTTTCAAATCATTGTGGAAAATAATTTTCTTTATTTAAATGATCATTGGGTTTCTTCATGCCGGTCACTATTACGGAAGAAATCGAAATCAAACTAGTACAACTAATTTTTGAACGCTACATTTAACTGTTTTTCTCAATATTTCAGTTTTCTTGGTCTTCCAACCGATGAACCTTGGTATTTACCGACAATCAATCGTGAAATGGCTCACAAATTATTAAAGATATGTGTTGAAGGTACTTTCCTTATTCGTACATCGTCCAATGGCCTATATGCATTAACATTAGTACATAATGGAATTATATACGATTGCCGTATTGGCCGAGATCCAACTCAAAATTATGCCTTTCGATTTGTTGCATCATACATCGATAATAATGGACAACCAACAACTATGAATGATAATAGTTCAGGTTACTGTGATCGTTCATTTTATTCATTAAAAGAACTGGTTGACTTTTATACGAAAAATTCATTAGCTGAAAATAATCCTGAATTAAATATATGTTTGACAGTACCTATTAAAATGCATGTGAATATTAAAATATAGAATTCATAATTGTTGTTAGTCATTTTCTGTCTATTCTTAATGTTTATAAATAAATCAATAAGTAACGAACTCTCATTTTATTTAATCTGTTCATATACAGGATTAAAATGAAGTTTTATTTCATTCCAACGACCACGTAAACGTTCACGTCGTTCATATGCGTATGATTGTCTACAAATGAAATAGAAACCAAACAAAAATAAAAAATCCAATGAAGTATAATTACCTTGTACGAAACATTTCTTTTATTTTTTCATCGAATTGTAAGGAAAATTTATCTATCTCAGTTGTTACACTACTTTTCTTAGTTTGTGAACTTGTATTTTTTGCTGGCTTTGTATCCGGAATTGATTCGATTTCATCTAGAGTTGAGATTATACGTTCGGGATAATAATTTTCAAGAGAAGGAAAATGTTCCAACGGAACACGATAAAGACGTAAAAATGATGGCACATTTTCTTGATTTTGATTCGTATTTTCGGGAACTGAAATAGAGAAAAATTTTCAAAAATATCTGATCTTACAAATCATCTAAAATTCTGGGCTCTGCAAACTTTACATGAATTCTTGAGGGACAAATCCTATAAGAGCATATTATCGGTATGATCTTAGCAAGCTCAAATGCTAAGGTTTTGTAGTGATAAGAAATTCTTTCATGTTTTCATCTGATTCTTAAAAATAAAAGCTATAATTATTTGAAATAGAATGCTTTCAATGAACATTTTTTTTGATAATGACTATTTATGAAATTCAATAGATTGAGATAGCAATTTAGGATAAGTGTCATTAACTTCTTGAATAATTATTTATAAGTGAAATAACTTCACATTTTAAAATCAAATTATATGAAATAAATTTATAATTATTAGCAATTACGAGACATATTAACTTTAAAATAGAGATTTTTATCCTTACAAAAAGCTATAATAACAAAATTATCGATTGTTATTTTCAAAAGCATTTTTCAGATGTAAAAAATAATTGGTCGAAACATATTTTATAAATAGAACATGCGATAACAATTGAAAATTTTTCTTAACCAAAGCTTCAAGTTAGAAACGTTTTTTACCAATCTTTGAAATCATATTTTTACAGAAAAAATTTCTAAATAAATGACTTGGACGATTAAAAATATAAAGTTTAGAAATTCCAACATGATCAGACCGACTTGGTTAGGATTCAAGAAGTCTTCGTAGATCTATCTTCTTTTATAGCTACCTCCAACAATGATTGATCTTGCACTATCAAGAAATGCAATTTGAATCGAAGAATTATTATGATTATCATTGTGATCATTTTTTGTTTGCGGTAAAACAATTTCACATAATTGTTTACATTTTAATGCATCGTTTATATAAATACGATTAAGTTCATTGACACTTACAAACTGTAACATTGAATAAAAACAAAATATAATGAAATACAATGTTCAAAAGAAAAGCGAACTTACTAAATTTGCTGGATTACAATTAAAAAACAGAATTCGAACAATTTTTGATGCGTCTTTATTTTGTTTCCTAATTAAATTACAATCAAATTTATGGATTTGTTGAATAGAAACATGATATGCATACTGAGGGAAACAGGCGACTACATTTTGTTGTTCATCATTTTTTTCTTCATTTAATATTGATTTAAACTTGACACGATATATTTGGCCATCATTAGACAAAACAAAAATTCCATTCTGTCTCTCATGAGTATCAATATTAAAAGAATGTTCTACGGTATCAAGTGCACGTATATCGATTATTTGAGATGAACTAACATTTTGAATTGATGGAGGATCGTTAAATCCTATGATAAAATTAAAAAATTTCTATACAATGTGCTGCTTAAATTTCATATGTTTGCCTTATTACCTGCTTTTCTTTCAATAATACAAACATTGCCTGATTGAAGAGCTACAGCAAGATGTTCATGTTTAGAATCGTATGCTAAACTTGTAATACGACTAGCAAATGGCCATATAACAATAGGACGAGTATCAAAAGCATCTAAATAATTAAAAAAAAACAATCCTTCCATGAAAAAAGAATAGATAAGACGGCTCAGTTCGATTACCTTTTCCTTTATTTTCTGATTTAGCAATTTTATAGATAAGTAATTGATTTGTTGTTGACCAACTCACCGCTAGACAATTGGCTGCTATAATTTTAATGAATATGAATTAGAATTGCTCATTGATGATGAATACACTTAGATCAAACAGTATGATCACACAGTTAGCCTTTCTTAGTTCACACGAAATTATGTCGTAGGATTCATTGATTTGAGTATCTTTTTGATAGATCGTATGTAAGATACTAATTATTTAGGGCATGACTTATGAAAAATGGTGTTTTCAAGAGCTTATGAAATATGCAATATTTGCTAACAGAAAATGGTGGAAACTTGGAAATCGTATTTCAGATCGAAATGTCTGTGAACTTTCTTGTGGCTTCCGAAAAGAAATAGACTTGAATAAAGAGAAAGACTTTTGAAATTTTCCAGTTCCGAATCCTACTTGTAAGTTGTATCAATTTTCGGGTATTTTTCCTTCCGGACACGTAAAAATGTTTTTGTGGCGTTCCAGTAGGTTCTACTGAAATCTCATTCTAGAATTCTTTTCTTATTGAAGGCTTCTTATATTTGTTTATTTTTTTTCGATTACAAAAATGTCAATTAGATAGAGAGAACAATATGTTTACAACATCTTTCTGTCTGACAGTCATGCGTTATTTTGATCGGTAATATTTTCCATTGATATTTACGAAATAATATTCTTTTCAACTTTTACAATTGAATCCTTTGACTGAGTTTTATTGAATTAGATAAACGGTATTTACATGGAATAAAAATTTATTTACCTCCTGCTGTTGTTGATTTCGCTGGAATAAAAACGATGCTAGGAATTCTAAAAAGTAAAAACAAATTCCAATCGTTTGTCTACGATTTACGTCTAGATCGTGTACGCACATAGGTGGATATGATTCAAATTTAGGTATTTGCAATACTTGATCAGATGCATCATTAGCTGTTGGCATAACTAAATCTCGAATTAGTAACATTTTTGCATCAATAACTTGTTGAGTATAAAAATGATTTGATATTCCAAGTCCAATATTGGATTGATTTTCAGTATTTTTCATTAGTTGTGGAAAATTATTCGATCCTATAAATAATAATTCTATATTGAAATGTAATAAAAGAAATCGATTTTGTTTACCTGGACTAAATTTCGGGGCTTTTGTTTTAAACAATAAGGCTGGACGAGAAAATTGAGTACGCATTAATTTTGATCTAGTTTCTGTTGATTGTTGTGATGCATTCTCCTCTATTTGATTCTCATTACCAGTCGTTGCCTATGAATCCGGCTTTGAAAACATAACATTTCAAATAAGTTTCATTTTCAATACCTGTTCTTGAGTAGTTATTTCTGATTTCCATTGTTCTTTTGGTAATTTGTATACTTCTAACCATGAATCATTATTACCTTAAATCGAATAAATAAAATGACAAGAATGTTTTTCATTAAAAAAAAACTTTTCAAATATACCGAACCAAGAAACAACTAAATATTCATCGCCTAAACCAACTTGTGTCATTAAGCATATTGGTCTTTTACTATCATCCTTGATGAAATAAATTTTATTTAAACATATTATAAATTCTTATTCATACGTCTGTTTCATATTGTGTGAATAAAAGATAAAATTGTTGATTTTTATAGGCAAACATTTTCCAATAGCCTGCAAGTTTAGGGAGAAAACAAATTCGAAGACAGAATGCGAATTTTATTTGATCATACCTAATTTATCAATAACACTTAAGAAATAAATTGTATCTTTTATGGATGAATCAGATTTAAATACGATCATGTTTTGTAAAGAATTTTCAACTGTTATGTAATTTATTATTTCATCGATTTGATTATCGTAGCAAACAAGATATGCCTGTTCATTTTGGATACCATTAAAGAAACACAAAGTGCCAGATATGTGACTACCAATCATAGATATTGGAAATGGAGTCTAATGAAATTAAAATATTTAACAAAATTATCTCAGAGAATACAATAAAATCGGTCTAAAACAAACATTCCGATGATTTTAGACAAGGGTTAATCTATGAACTATTATGTATACTTCATTCTGAAATGAAACGAAGTTTTACAGTTTAAGTTGCTGTACTAGTATCGAAACGAACAGTAGATGTTCTCTGTACTTTTCATATATCTCCATTTGATTGTAAATAAATCCAAATAAATGTTTGACTCAACACAAAAGTTTGCCTTTGAAAACAATATTCAACTTTTGAGTAATTATATTTTTATCTAATATTGTACTTGTACAGAAAGTATTAACTACATGTGAAATCTTTTTTGCTTTCATTTTCGTCAGCTTAACTTTGTATGAACTTAATCTTCACATGTCTAAAATTCTTTGAAATTTCTATGATTTTCTTAAAAACTTGCGCAGTGAACGGCAATTCATTCTTTTTGATCAGTCATCAAGCGATATCTAGAGGTGTCAGCCGTACGGCTGAGCCGCCGCAGCAGCCGATTTTTCGATGATATCAGCCGCGTAGTCATCAAATTACTGGAAATTTTGAGAATTTTGGGGGAGCCGCCGCTGCGAAAAACAAGTTTAGCCGTTGCGCCGCTGCAAGAGATAAAAAATTTTGATAGCGTTATTTGCCGCCGCTGACATCAATACATATACGATCGAATCGAACATTTTTCTTTTAATTTTCATCAGTGAATTTTTAACTGAGCCGCCGCCGCCGCGGCCGATGTGAGAAAAATTTTAAGAATTTGTAGCAGCAGCCGCTGAAGACATTACTCATTCAAATAACGAGCCGCTAGAAATCTTCAAAAATTGAAAATTATTGCCCGCCGTCGCCGTTCAACCCTTCGGCTGACACCTCTAGCGATATCTACTAATTGAAGTTTCGCTAGAATAAATTTTATCGCACTCTTACATTTATGATTGTTGATGATGTATGTTGAGCTGATACAAATTTTGTTTGATCAATAAGACGTTGTTTTTCGCGCTGTTCAATAATAGCCCATGCATCATCAAAAATTGATTCAAGCACTTTATTGATTCGTCTAGAAGATTCAAACAGCGAAATAACTTCTTTTCATATTTGTTTAGTTCGTACGAACCGAAACGGTTGTGGTAATTCATCAAATATTAATGATGGATCCAACGTAAAGTCAGTTCGATCATTTAAATGCTCTTGTCGAGATGGAATGGGAATAGACAGCTCATTATCCGATATGCGGTCTCTAGACGATAGAAATATTAATGAAATCATTTGTAGAATAAATCAATAAATAGAACAGACTTTGCTGACGATATTGATTTATTTTTCAATTTCGTATGGTGTTGAATATTACTCATTATTATAATATAATCTCAAATGATGAATGAAAAATTTTAGTGTTTGCTTTTCAATAAACACATCACAAAATATGAGGATATTAAGATGAAAAAAGTCACTATACAATGATTTTTTTTCCTTCAATATGAAATAAGATGTTAGAAAAAAAAAGAAACATTTATTCAACAATTCTTAAAGCACTGTCTTCGCCTAATTCTTTTTTCAATTTTGCATCTATTCGATCCCAATCGACATCAACCTAGAAAGAGCATAGAAAAAAACGTGACAACAACAAAACAAACAAGCTGATATGCAAGTAACTGACATTTTTCATTGCTTGTAAATATTTTTGGTTGGTTTCTTTTTTACTGTTGCCGTAGTCTTTTAGATATTTTTGACGATAACCTACAACAATTTCTAAATATTGAGGATGCCGTTGAGTTAAATCGATTGCTCTAAAAAAGAAAGAAAAAACAATGCAGAAAACAATATTTTTGAAAGAGAATAATAGGCTTGCACAAAAGAAGAAAACTTGACCAGTCAAAAGCGCTTTGCCAACCAGATATATATATATATATATATATTAAATTTTCAAGAATAGAAATAATAAACTATAGCTCACCGATCCCAATTATGCTCATTCAGGTGTAACATAATAGCATGAAGCGGCTTATTCCCTTGCAAATAATGTCCTTCTGCTTCGTTTATATTTCCACCAGCAAGCAATGCAAGCTCAGCTTCACGTTCTTCTTTTGATGATATTGTACGAAGATTTTGTAAACAAAAAACCATTTCAGTCTAAATCATTTTAGAAAAATATTTTCTCTCACAAGAATACTAATTTTCAAATTTACATTTGATAACTGTGCGAAAGCATTTTCAGCCGAATCAAAATCTCGATTAAATAACGAAATAACTGCAATTAATGCATAAATAGAATCATCCTAAACAAGAAATAAACTAATTAGAATCTTAAAACACAAGAAAATTCTGTATCGGTTTTACAGCGATATATTGACATAATTGTAAAGCTTCTTCAGCGCGATTGGCAGAAAGTAGATCAAGACAAAGTTCATAATAAATGGGTATTACACATTGAATAAGTGCACCATTCGATTTACGTATTGTTATTTGTGAACTAAGAAAATCTGAGATCGATGGATTTTTACCGAAATCACTTAAATAAGCAAATAATGTTTTAAGTTATTTAAATAATTATTTAAAATCTACTTTGATTCTATTCGGTAAGTTGTTTTATCAATTAAACTTGGTTCAATGAAAACAGCATTCGGATAAAGCCAAATGCTAAGTTTTCCATCAGCAATGCCTGATAACATAGGATTTTTATCATTCCATCGAAAACTACCAATATTAGTACCTAAAATATTCATATATATATTTTTTTTTCTCCCTTAAGAAAAGACTCGCAAATAAAATATACAAAGTTTTCGAATTCTTTGATGAGCCGATCGTTGAGTTTGTCCAGTAGCACGAACTTGCATAATGAATAAATCTTGAAATTTATCTGCAAATGCAAGTTTACGTTCATTGGGTAGACCTGTTTGATCAAGTGCCAAATGAATTATTTCATACTAGATAATTGAAAACACATATCATAATTGATTCTATAGAAAACTACGATAAATGTTTTTTACCGCATGAGAAACAACTTTTCCATCGCCAATCGGTTTACCGTTGATATCGAAAAACATAACAGCTAAATAGAAATAAAAAAATATTTAAAACTTTCCCTAATGTGTGCTTGACGTTAGATTTTCCTTCTTTTTTTATGAAAAACTTCAAATCGAACCGGTTTTCTCTCTCTCTCTCTTATCGCCCTCTTGAGCAAGTCTAATCTCATCAGAATAACTGAAATTAAGAGAAATACATAGAGAAATAATCTTGAGCCTGATTTTTCATGAATGATATTAATTTGTGAAACATGATCTTAACGGGATTTTGAAGTATGAGATGGAAACTTGAATCTACCTATTGCTTGCGATAGACGCTATTTATATACGACCAAAGTCTGTGTATCAATAATGTCTCGTTATAATATATGAACTACTCTTGTGTTGTATTTCTAGAGAATTTTGTAAAATAATGCTAATGCAATGTGATTCACAGCAAATAGAGCAATCTAATATTCTTCTAATCAATCAAAGAAACCACACTTTGTCAAGAACTTGTATGCTTTTCTGATTTCAAATAGTGTATCAAAATTTACAAAGTGACATAATCTCTCATTTTAATTCAACTTTATGACTATTATTTAAATCATGGAGTTTTCTTCAATTTTTAAATTAAGAACAAAATATATTCTATAAGAATGAATAGAGATTTTCCAGAAACTAACGAATTACTTTTCTAAATAGAGAAGGAAGTAACTTTGGCAAGTAAAGATTTCGATTAGCTTACATTTAGTATCTGTAGAATCCCGAACTGCAATAGTATCAGGACTAATTGAAACAGTATTTATATTCACTGAATCGGGTTTAGGTGACATTAACTTTGGCGCTGAAACAAGTCGACCTTCATATGAATAAATTGAAATATTGATTCCATCCGATAGAAGGAAATGTCTATACGAAAATGAATCAGAGAATAGTAATGATCATAGGTTTTTTTCCCCTGTATTATTTTACTTTTCTGCTTGAACAATTAAACTCATTGACATATCACGTAAATCGAATATAGCCGGATGACCAAGATGTTTACAACTAAACGAATAGATTATTTTGTATTAAACTTAATGATTCTATTCTATACATACTTATAAATTAAACCTTGATTACTTGTTAATACAATTAAATATCCAAAACCAACAGACATCTTAACGAGACGATCTTTAAGTTCAATTTTATCTTTCAATTCTGTTTCACAATTGCTAATAGTTATTAATTTTGAATCAGTTAGAATAAATTCTAAATGACGCCAATCAACCCGACTAAAATAAAACGTTAAATATTCTTTTATTTTTTCGTATCACCTTATGAGTAATTAAATCTAATACCGTTCAATAATATGACCAATGCCTACTCGTCCTGTACCACATCCACATGCTATTTGTGTACTATCATTCGACCATGATAAACCAAATATGCTCCCATCTTTTGGTTTTTCTACTGAATGACACCACTAGAATAGAAAAACAAACGATAAGCATCATTGTTATTGCCACTTATTAGAGATCTGGATTACAGATTCTATTGAAAATGTCAATTAACATGTTTATTCGATGCAAGTTTCTATCGAGACGAAAATCAGTTTTGATCCATGTTATGATTTTGGGAAGTTTTGGTAAGATACTTATTTCATTATAATGAACGGAACGAACACGACTATCTTTCTCTGACATAATAGAAACTCAATTTTATTTGTTATGTTTTTCTTTTGTATTGAATATGACTTATCACAACAATTTAAACATTCTATATATCAAATATTCATAACTATAGATCATCTCATTTTCTACTCATTATCGTTTGGATCAAATCGATTCTCCTGGCAAACATGAAATAAAATAGAATACATACGCCAGCACTATCGCATAAACGTATTGTATTATATGAGCCTACAGCAAAATTTGAACCATCTGGTGCCCATGCAAGACTTGTTATAGGATATTCAAATGCTTGACTAGCATACAATTGTCGACCCACTGCATCCCATACCTTTGCAATTAAAATAATATTATGAAAAAAGTTCATCTCAACATATATATATATATATATACTTTATATCGACAATCTTCACCACCTGATATAATTAAATTATTAACTGTATTCCAGTCACATTTCAAAATAATCTGATCGTGTGCTTTCCACTGAATAAAATAAAATAAAAAAGCAAATATTGACTCATGTACAACAGAACCAATATGAGTCGTTTTTATACCAAATTTTGTTTTGAATTAGGCGAAAGTGGTTTCATAACAAGATGTTTGCCTGCACAATAGAGTATTGCATCATTCTCAGCCGACCAACATACACAAAATATTGGTGTTGCTAAATGCAAGACAATCGAAAAAAAATAATAACAACTGGCATAAACGATAATAAGAATTTACCTGATTGAACGAGATTCGAACGTAACATGCCTGATCGTGCCCATATTCGAATTTGTCCATCTTCTCCACCTAGACTTGAATTGTCAAATATAAGAATGATAGTAAAACGAATATAAAACTGACCTGTCGCAAATTGACTACCATCAGGACTCCATCGAACACAAATCGTTGCTCCTCGATGAGCTTCAACAGTTTTTTCTATGCGTCCAGTTTTGTTTACAAAGCAAAATTTACCTACATATCAAATAGAAGTTTTCATCTACGTAAAAAGGAAAAATAAAACAAATTCTGTCTTTTGTTTACCATCGCTTGTTGCTAATACAAATAGGTCGGAACCAATAGTTCGTTTTCCACCTGATACTGAACTTGATCCTTGTCCACCAATAACATTTGCTCCTTTGGGTAACCAATGCATATCAAGTGGATAGAGATCTTGTCCTAATTCAGCTATTTTAATCAATTCATTTTGTACAACATTATATTTATAAATAATATGATCTTCTCCAACAGAATATAAATCATCGGCGGACATCCATCCAACGCAATCAACACGTTCAGTATGACGAAGAGTTGGTGGAAATGTAAATTTTAGGCGCATTGTTCAATTAAAGTATATAGAATCAAATCTTTTTCTATTTTAGTGAATGATGAACTATTACCATCAATGTTGAATGTCACTAAGTGAGAGCCTTTCAAAAGAATGAAATATATTTTATGATTGGATAAGTAGAGATCTAATAGGAAACGAGAAAGAGAAAATAAAATTATATGTAAAAAAATAAATGGAATCGAATCGTTTTCTATTATTGTCTATAACGTTTCGTTGGAATGCCTGAAATTACTAAAGATTTATCTTTTCGACGTATTCTTGATTCTTTAAAATTAACACCAAAACATCGTCTAGTTGAATTCGGAGGTAGTCCATTCTTTTTTCATTATATATATTTATTTAAATGTGTTATTTATAATCCATTTATTTTTAATAAAGATATATGGGCTGAAATATTTCTTTGGTGTTTTATGACTTCAATTGTCGTTCATTTAATTGCGACCATAGTTGCCATTATATCATTAAGAAGTCATAAAATTGGACGTTGGTACTCAATAGTTATCATTCTAGCTGGGATTATAACTCCCATTGTTCCATCAGCTCTTACTAGTAAATATATTTAAGTTAGAAGTTAGAAATAATCTTTGATTATGTTCATCTCTAGGTGCACTTCTTTCAGCTATATTTTATGCTGCTTCAGTTGAAATAAAACCTTTCTTTTGTTTCATACTTGGCGTTGGACAAACTGGCGTTATACTCTTCTTCTCTTTTCTAAAAATCTTATCTACATTATAATTAATATTATTTAACACTAGTTGCCGTCAATTGTGTTTCAGTACTCCAACACAGAAGCATTTTCATGTGGAATGTACAGTTTTTTTTTGTTAAGAGTTAATCAATTATGATTAAATTTTAAAAACAATATGACAGAAACGAAACAGCTTTCTGGCAATTATTTCTATATTCTGTATAATGTAAATTTTCTGAAAATAATGTATTTTATTTTTATATTTACACCTATTAAATTACAAAACTACCATTTGGCTTGATTAAATGAATTATAGATATTTTGGATAAGAATTGAGAGATTTCATTAGACTTGTTTTGACTCAAATAAATTCGTAATTGAATATAACTACTCAGAATGGACTGCTGTGAATAATACAGATTATGTTTGTATTTGACTAACTGCTGAAGATGTTTGCTAATGAAAAACAGGAGTCATGAAAGCTTGTTGGAGCTTGCATCGGAAGGACAGTGGCTACGATAGGCTTTTAGGTAGGCATCATGTATTGTTGACGACGCAAATATGTCATAAAAGGTTGCTACACTGGTGCGAAAACCCTGTATTCGTTGCATTGAATACTAAACGGGTATAGATTTGTTTGCTAGATAATATTGAGTTGCCAGCACTATTGGATATGTTTAAATGTATGTTTGTGAGATGGAGATAAATTGTCAAGAGTTATTTCTTGACTGTTATCTTGGTCTAAATCTTAACTCCTGATTTTTGCGCATAAACGCATTCATCTTAATTTTTCCGAATAATAGAGCTGCTGACAATGAGACAAGCTATTAATGAAGGTATGACGACATTAAGATAGATAGGAATCATCATGAAAATAATTAATCACTAATGCATTTTATTTATTTTTTCTCAGATTCCATGCTTAGGTAAAAATTCGAAAGACTTGTCACAAAGATTTTATTACTATCTGTTAATGTACCAGTGCGACATGTGTCACCGAGGTGCAAACGGATATTGGTTTCAGTATAAAAGACGAACTATGAATTGAACAAATTTCTTTCGCTGGATTTGGAAGTTTCATACCAAATAAATTCATCAGATTCGCTGGTGGAGCATCCGACTGAATAATAATAGAATCTAAATTTAAATTGACTCCCTAGCGAACTTCTGGTATGCTCATCAAAAATATTAGTATCTGGAGCAAGAACATCGTGCACTATAGACAATTCTTGAGTTCTGAATAAATCAAATATAAGAAGAAAAAGATTCGCCTAGGGCGATATTTTATTCAACTGGAAATTTGAAGTGTAATAGCTTAATTGCATCTTTCAAAAGATTGAACATCTTCTCATAAACATTTAAAATATAGAATGATGATAGCTAGCTGTGAAATTAAACTATTTCGACGAAAAGCTACTGTACGTAACATAAGCCATCTTAGAATAAATGATGATGATGATCATCTGAATTGACGTTACATTGGTCGATTATAATAATGCATAATGGATTTCCTTTTTTTTTACCATGCAATAATCCATCATGCAATATCAGCTCTTTTTATTGGAATATTATACACACGTCATATTTATCTCGTTAATGATGAGTGAATCATCCGGTATTAAATTACAATATGACTTGTTCTATTCAATAGTTATATGAAGAACAATTTTGACTGATGTAGATGATTTTACCAATGTTAGTAATATGAGAAATAATTCTAAAACTTTTGACAGTGTGCCGTAGAAAGATCGAAAGAAAAATATAAGAGGAAAAATATCGAAACGGAATAATGTCGAAAAAATTGTAGAACGGGGAAAAATGTCGAAGAATATATTTTGCCACAAAAAATGTCAAAATTCGAAATAAACGAAATAGCGATGTCTACAGTAAATGATGACTCTAAAGACGAATAATTCGTGTTTTCTTTTCCCATAATTCTACTAGTCTAGATTTTGCACCTCTTGTAACAGTGATGATTAATACTTGATAATAGACTAAGTGAACAACTTCTACAAAAGAGTAAATATATAACTAAAATTCTACCATTATGGCTACAGCTGTCGCATCTTCCGAAGACGAAACTCAATCAAAGTCACCAACTGTTTCATTTATTTATTCACAAAAAGAAAAACAATTGCTAATAGCAAATGAATATATTTCGATTATCATATGTTAGTATTAACGTACACAATGAAACATACTTCTCTCAAGTCAGAATTCGAAAACACTCTTTTCGACCATTTTCCGCAACAATATATTTTTTTCTTTTCGACATTTTTCCTTTCGGCCTTTTGACGGCCAACCCTTTTGACCGTACATCTGCATATCCATTATTGAAAAACAATTTCTTAGCAAATACAAAAGAAACACCGCCCATACTTATCTATATCTCGGATCATATATTAAGAGACTTTTTCTTTATCAAAAATCGTTATTATCATGAGATGTTTTATTCAAGTTTAATCAATATCTAGTGGCAATATTTTCCCACGCGTATCAAGCATTCATGGGTATTAAGTGCCTTCGTAACCTATCATCGAATATAATGAATAACAAGCATGCGCTATATATCAACATTACAAAGATGAAGTAAAAACAAAAAAAATGGGCCGGTACACAAAAACAATGACGCTCACTTCCGGGTTTTTGTTATAATATACAAATCGATTGCTATCGTGTTTGAAAAGCAAAAGAAAAAAAGAGAATATATTAACATTTTTTATTAGATTGTGACGAATGTCATATAAGTCGTTATTGAAATTAGTTTCTGTTAAATATTTAATGCCAATACTCGCTTATTAATGATCAAACAAAAAAAACTATGGTTGCCTATTATGGTTTTGATGGTCAGAAGTAGACTTGTGGTAGAGTTATTTTATGAATTATTATTATTATTATTTGCAATGACGTCTATATATGTTAATTAATGCATGCATAATTATATCGAATCGCAGTGTGTATCGTATGGGACGAATAGTCTTCGGCACGTAGAAAGATTCTCTGTTTTCATATAAACGTATCTAGTTTTCTCCGATGGCCTACTGCTCTAAATCACATAAAATAATCAAAAGCAGTTGATCGAGAGAAAAGTTTGTTTTCGACAAAAAATAAGGAATAGAAGAAGAATGTCACTATTTTTGTTGGCCAACAGACTAAGGAAAGAAAAAAATAAAGATACTCATGCAACGAGCAGTAAAAAGGCGTAGAGGCAAAGTCAGTTCTGCTTTATAACCCTTGGTGATTATTTTCGTCGAAACAGAAAAGAAAAAGATGATTTGAAGCGCAGCGCACAACATATTCAGCGATGTGTGTAACATCAAGTGTACTTCCCTGAAGATGATACAATAATTGAAATTAAATTAAATGATTTTGTTCGTACTGCTAGAGAATAAGATCGACGCGTCTATTTAACTTAGTTTTAATTTGTATAGTTAGTCTATGCGACATCGACATTAACACTTTCTCTTTAGTGATAAGATAAAAAAAGCATTAGAATAATAAAAGAATAAAGGAAAAAAAAAGTATTTACTATTTCTCTTTATAACCTTGCATATAAAAACGGATTCATATTTAAATCATAGGGATTTTCTATTTTATTATAGAAAAATGAGTGCAGCTCCAACTCAAACTCCATCAACTTATATTTATAATAATAACAACAACAACAACAACAACAATGGTAATGATAATGATAATCATAGTACTAATGACAAATCTGCGGGACATTTTGCCCGAAGACGTTGGTCACAAGCACTAGCACTTGCAGATCAACTTCGTCGTAATACAAAACTTAAAAGAAATGAACAATTACGGCAATACGCGTTTGAAATTTCATCAGCCGATAGTCATGAATCAAGTGTTATGGCGTCTCTTGAAGCACAAACTGATTATACTAATTCATATCAAATTGAACTATTGCAGGCTAAAACTAGTACTTTCACTTTGGATAGTTTGACTAAAAATTTCATTCGTTTAAAAATAACATTTAATCGAATGCTTGATATTAATAAAAACGAATTACAACAGATAACATTAGCAACATCAATAACAAAAACGGCTTTATTAATCCTTTTACGTTCGATAGAAGCAATTGTTGAAATTATAACAAAAGGAACAAGGAGTTTTCCAAATTTGTCTTCTCTTATTTCATATATTCGTTCATATCATAAAGAACTACCTATACATGGAGCACTTCTTGTTGAATGGTATGCAGCTGCACATACACTAGATTTACTTGTTGGCGATCCTGATTGGCTTGTACAACCACGAAAAGCTTACTGGGCTATGCAAGTCTGTAATGAAACATTGGCATGGGCACGTGTAGTTTTTAATGAAAATTATCGTAACACACCTGTTGGCCGACCAATTTTCGATCGAGACGATAGTTATTGTTCTGTTGATATGAAAGATCAAGACTGATATTTATCTAGTTACTGTCGATGTATGTGCCTATTTTTATTGTGCGCTTTCATTGTAACCGATCATATTTTTGCAAGGAAGGAAAACAAAACTTCAATAAACTATATTAGCAGTTATCGTAGTTAAACCTAGTTTTATGCAAATTACAGAAAATTCTTTAAATATAAACAATCAAGAAAATATTATAGTGTCAAAATAAACAGAAAGATAACACATTCTATGATTTTTCATTCAATGAGGATTTTTTAAATAATCCTGCTGGTTCTCCATCGAAGTTCATTTTTAGTTGTTTTTCTTTGCTCATGGTAATCTTAGAGGCAGACAGTGATGATGATAAGGATGGCGACACCGGCACGTTTTCAGAAGGCTTTGTAGCATCACTTGTCAGAGGTTTTGTCATATCAAGAAAACCTGCATTAGCTTCATCATCGGCTGGGAAAACAGTAAATGCGTTCGTATAAATAATGGCAGACGGAACCATTATAATTCCATCTATGAAATAAACAGAAATGCTATGAATACTCTGTTATACCACATGAAAACAATTCTTTACTTACGATTTTTCGTTTTTAGATGTACATATCGAATATCAATAAAATGAACAAGACCTTTTAACGGAACATAATAGTCAGTAGAAAATGAAGGCCTATATTAGAATGAATATTAATTTACCTTCAATTCCGCCACCACTTCCATGAATTTTAATTCGACATCCTCGAACAAATGGTTTATTAATAACAAGAAAAATGCCCGATATAAAATTCGTTGCGACTTCTTTAAGAGCAAAACCAACTGTAAAACCTGTTATACCAATACCAGCTAATAACGGTTTCGTATCAACACCAAGTGTTCCAAGTGTTGTGACGCCAATAATTGCATAGCTTGTAATTGCAGCTGTTTTAGAAATTAATCGGGCTAAATCTTCATCTTCAATAATATGTGAACGAAGAAAAAACCGTTCTATTATTGGAGCAAGAGCAAATGACCGTTTTAATTGTTGCATAGTTGTTAGAGGTTTTACAGATGGTATCGACTCTTTCGGTGCATCTTTTCGTTTGAACCATCGAAAAAATCGACGTAGCCGACCAGGTGATTTTTTATTTGATGTATTTTGAGACAAGTAACGATGATGTTGCTGTAATGAATATATCAATTGATTATTATGTGATGCTACTAAACATCGACTTGCAATATTAATAGTATTTAAGTTAAGACGAGAAATAATAAGCAAGGATCGATAATACATATTTCAAGCTACGACTAAAATAATAATGTAATCGAAGATAAGAAAACCAAAAAAAAAATTTATCTATTATGAAAAAGAAAATTGAGAAATATCTCTTCTATTTTAAAAACAATACAGTTTTTTCTCTTCTGTGTGCTTTTTATTCAACTAAATATGTAAAGAATAAACCAACCAAAAAAAAAACAAAACGAAACGAAATAAAAACTGAAGTTATCTGTCAATAAATATATGTATAGTTGTTTACGTCAATGATACAGGAGGTGGTACTTTGAGCTTTTCCCGTCGAATCGACTCGCTTAATGTCACCATTGGAAATTTACACATGCCGTAAGATGCATATGCAACAACATTACGATTTGGTTCTGGATCCATAGCTTGTGTTTCAAGACCATAAAAAGATGCTAATTCATGAATTACATGACGTTCATTAATTTTCATTGGTTTAAATGAATGACATCGTTTCGCAACACGATGACGCTGAGTTTCTTCAACAAGTTGCGAGAATTGTCGTTCAATAGTCTGAACAAATTCTAAATGTTTTTTTGCATAATCACGTAAAAAGTCTGTGTAAACAATTGGTGTTAATCGTGACTCATCAGGATTAATTGATAAAGCTATGGCTAAATTTTTATTTCGTTGTATAATACGACAATCATCATCACATTCTAATTGATGTTGTTGTTGTGATGGCTGTTGTTTTCTTGAAAGTGATAAATCAATGGTTCGAACGGACAGTGCTTGAACAAGTGATTGAGTTAGATTAATATCATCTTTTCCTTCATTAGATTCATTCGGTCGAACATTACAAGCAATATCTTTTACTAGTCGACCACATGGACATCGAACTTTAATGATATCTCGACATGTTGTTATCGGACACGATTCATGTGCATGACATAGAGCATTACATGGATGTCCACATTCGCGTCGCTTAATATTGCATCGTTGCGTACATTTTTGATCATTAGTTTGACATGGACCCAAATGACATGCACGTTGACATGCATGAACACCACATGGAAGAGGTTGACCACATGGTTGACCACACAGAACTTCTTTTAGATGACATGGAACCTAAAACAAGATCATTTTTTTATGAAAAAAAGAATGACAACAAAGAAAAAATTTGTTTTTGTTACATTATTGCGCAATGTATGTTCACCAACACACATTCTGGTAACAAGATGCGCACAAGGTGGGCATTCATCTTCATTGTGACAACTATGATAAACAGGATGATCACATGCATGTACTCGATTACATTTATAATTGCACATAGGAGGTTTTTCACCACATGGAACTGGCGGTTGAAGAACAGTTTGACCGCAGTGACACGTTAATTCATCATAACTATTTATTGGACATTTACGACAAAAATTTTTGTGACATAATTCTTCACATTTACTAAAACAATAAATCAAATTATAATTTTTTTATTTAAAATTTTTCTTCCTCTGATAACATACTGTATACCACAATTAAGTGATTTACCACAGATGATTTCACAAACATGCACGTCACGATCACAACATTGCTCATTACATCTATATAGAAAACGAATTATTATTGTTTTTATTATCTAAACGAGAATAAAATCACAAACCGATGTTTTCCGCATAACTTCTTTTTATTACATCGTCGTTCACAACAAAACGGATTTTTTATTGGATCATATTGTATGACTTCTATGCATGATGCTGATTTCTTTGATTGTCCACAACGACATTGAAGAATAGATTCTTTACTACATGGTGGACATGGACCATTATGACATTGAATTGAACATTGATGATGATTATCGATTGGACCACATGGTAAAAATTTTTCGCATGATTTTTCACAAGTCGGTAGCTAAATAAAGTTGAATAGAAACAAAAATTATCGATCCTTTAAAATATTTCTCTATTCATACTGGATCGAGACATGAAGTTCTTTGTTGATTATCCATATTTGTTTTTCCACAAGCACATGTTTTACAATTCTGTGGTAATAATAAACAATCTAGACATGGCCCATTATGACATGGCTTTGGACATCTATGATGACCACATGAAAGTAATTTTCCACATGGTTCACCACAGGTAAATACTTGTGTGCCACCAGTTTCAATGCTGCATAGAACTTCTCTTTCGCTTTCATGTGAATAACATTTTTGTTTAATTAATTCATCACACGGTTCACATTCACGTGGATGACAAATCTAACGATTAAATTATGATAAAAATAGAATTATTTATAGATTTGAATGAATTTACCACATCACAAGTATGATGTTGACAGGATTTAAGTTTACCACATTTATTTTCACATTTAATCATTGCATTTGAACTACACATAACAATACGAGATTCACGGCCACATGCACAAGAACGTTTGATCATAGTTGTACATGTTGGACAAGGACCAGGGTGGCACAGTCTAATAGTAGAGAAAGAGATGGAAATTGTGAGAAAAATGAATTTTTAATTTAGTATATAATTACTCAGAACAACGATGATTGCAATCATTAGCTTTAGTATTCAATCGTTTATCACATCTTTCACCGCATGAATGAGGAATTTCACCAGGTTGAAATGCTGGATTAATACGTTTATGACAGTAACAGTTATACATTGGATGTGTCGAATAAGAATATTGACAGCCTGGGCAACGCCAGTTTTTGTCTGTACCACTTTCTTCTGAATTAGCCCATTGCTTAATACAGTTTAAATGAAATATTTTATAGCAAATTTCACATGACCATATTTCTTGATCTCGACTGAATTAAAAATGAAATCAAGAAGAGTTATGTTTAAATATATTCTTCAAAAAGATGAGGCATACTCGATTTTGATTATGCATATCATACATTCATAAATATTTTTATATAATTGCTCAGTTAATGTTGAGCGAAGATTTTCGACTTCATTTGCCGACCTTGCTGATGAATTGCTATTTGGGCGAACATTTAATTGTTGATTACTCTGCGACGATGATGCCCCATGGCGAAATTGTGGTCGTCGTTGGTGTTGTTGTTGTTGATGATGATTGTTAATGCGATGTCCTCCTCCTCGTGGAGGTGGTGCTCCATAATAATATTCATCATAATACATATTAGATGAATACCATTGTTGCTCATGTTGCTGTTGTTGTTGTTGTTGTTGTTGTTGATACCCACGATGACTATAACGAGCGTCTTGTGAACTTGTCTGCATGGGTCGACGTTTTTGTTTTCTATTATTATGAGTATTATTAGTATTTGAATATGCTCCTTGAAGAGGTATATTTTGTGACTGGTCTGATGACGCAATACTTTCAGTCATGATATTTCTAAAACAGAATGAGTTTTTAGATCACTTTACTTTTTCTAAAAGCAACTATATTTATATAAAGGTGTTCCTTGGTTTCGATCGTATTTACATCAATGGCAACGTAATTGCGAAAGTATATGACTGTGCATCAGTAACAAATATCTGATGCAATAAAAGAAATTCAACGAAGTAGGAATACTGAGAAATATTTTCCTGAAATTTGTTTCCTATATTAGGATGTTTTTAGTCAATATTAATAGTTAAAATCAGTGCAAATATACGAGTAACTGAATTCTATCCAGTAGCCTCGAAACAAGAGAATTTTGGAGATGAGTCATTTCATGCTTCTCGAAACTCAATGAAATTTTTTATGACAGATGTCATTCGAATTCGGCTATTGTATAAAACACAATGTACCAATAACGAGTTCCTTTCTTCACATTAGGTAGATGTGATTTTACATTGTGAGAAAAAACACAACCTATTGTAGAATTTAAAACAGAAAGGTTTCTTTCATGTTTTGCTTCAGATCTATACCAATTTATTTTGAATCTGGTTCAAATATTGACAGATTTTGATTGCGAATAGATAATAGAAATCTGTGCATCTCATTCTAGATATTACATCGATAAAATAAAATGATTAGATACTATTGTCCAAAATGTCCATGAAAAATTAGAACCAAAGGATCTTGTAAAATATAATAGTGTTTTGTTTTAATCAATTAAATAGATTTCGTTTTACTTATTTTGATATGACGTTAAGAAATCAGTCTAGCTATAACAAAATATGATATAAATATATTAACTTCATCCGGATCAAATCTAAATTACATCGAGAAAAAAAAGAAAAAAGAATTTTTTTATGCCATAAAAGTGTTACAAAACTTAGTTTTCAAAAGTTGAACACGAGATCATACTCAAGTGCTCGATGTTTGTTTTATGAATGCTAGAGCAGCAACATATAAGAATGAATAGAATGACAAGCGTAGAGTTTAGTGTCGTTGTAAGCGAAAAGAAAACTAGAACTCGCAGCCGACTTCCTTTTCTGATATTAAATAATATAAAAATAAAATAATTAGTGTTTTCCTTTAAAATAGTTGCTGATCTTTTCAGCCTATTTACTCGACTAAAACTAAATTCTTATTGAATTCAAACTAACGCATTTGCACCAAAACAGTATATTGCACAATCAACTAGCTTTAGGTGAAAACAATGATAATTATTTGTAAACACGATGTGTTTGTTTCATGATATTATGATACATGATTAATTATGGAGCATAGAATGTATCATTGCAATTGAGAGTTTAGTATTAATCATTCTATGATTTATGACAAATTTGAACTAGATAAAAAGTGAATATTCTAAATTTTCCATATCACTTTCGTGTAATAACTTCATTACTAGTGATATTTCTTTTTTTTACCATCAAACCTTGTAATTACTAGAAATGAAAATGATATAAATATCTAAGTAGAGACCACAATACTGTATAATCGGTTTGAAAGAGAAATAAATGATTATTTCCAGTAGTATACTGCTGTTTTTTTTTACAGAAGATTAACAGCTGAATGAATATACCAAGGGAGAAAAGCTGATTCCAAACCATTCGAAAGACTTCGGATGGTGAGGAATGACTAATAATGTATTGGAAAGCCTGCATGAGTTCTTCCTAGTTGTACGAGCCAGAGATCCGAGACACACGTCGCCTCATAATTAGGCGAGGCTGCATTGTTTGCACCACAGCGAGTGTGAGTTGAATTTTTTAACTCGCCGAGTCGACTCGCCTATATTTACAACATCATTTTTGATGAATAAATGGTAAATCGATATTGAAATCTTTCAGTTTTACTGTAGATTTGTTTGTGAAGTATCGGTTGGCGATGAAACTTAACTAATCGAAAGAATGAATAACTAAACATACATTTATACATGTTTTGGGACAAAATTGGAATTCTAATTCTACCGGAGCAAAAAAAATTAGGATTCGGCTAGACATAAATTCGTGCAGTGGAAATACATAAAATTAGAATAGAATAACTAATGTCATTAAACAATACCTTTTTTATTTTATAAACATTTTACGGATCAAAGTTTTTTATAGTCTATTCCAGTTTCAGCAGTAGAAACTTTGGGGATAGGGTGGATAATTAAAATAATGAGGGATAAAACAGTATCCTAGAGCTCCTGAAGCTCTAAATGTTTCTGAAAATCTGAGGTTCTACGCCCTGGCATTATACAAGTTTATTTTCTGTAAATCAAGAGCTCCGAACTCATGAGATCCGGACAGATCTCTATCGGTACGATAACTGACACTTAAGTTTTCTTTTCTTTCATTTCAGTACACTTTTGAGTAAAACACAAGACTATATGAATTTATCTCTAGTCGAATCCTAATTTTCTCTCGGCAACATCAGGATTCCAATGCTGCCCAACACAAACCCTGATCGCTATTGGATGTCTAGTTCGTACCAGGCAAAACTTGAATTAGAATTTTGCTCTAGATATATATTTATCTAACTTATTTATATATATTAACAATACTTAATGAGATATAAAGAAATAAAAGATAGTCATTGTTGTAGGTGGCTGAGAAACTTCCTAAAAAAGATCTTTTTTAAGGTAGATACTGGGTGAGGCGAGGCAGCGATATTCAGCTCGCCAGCGTGACGAGGCGGTGGTGAGTCATGTGTTTGGCTGACTCGCGGATCTCTGGTATGAGCTATTTATTGTCATCATTTTCTTCCAATTGTGTTTCTCTAATTTTTGTTTGTAGTTCTCTTCAGTAGATGTAACCCAATCAAACAACTGTTGAAAAAAAACGGTGTTTTTTTTGTTTTTTGGCTGGGGATGGCGTAGTGGCTCTATGCATCTGAATTCAGAGATCAGAAGGTTCGATTCCTTCCCCCAGCACGGTGGTGGTGTCATTGGTATAACGGTGTACGGTATCGGTGGAGAAGACGACCAATCACTTTAACAATATGTGATCTTAATGATCTTTATCCTTTCCTCTTGGCGTGATTCTTGGTGTGATTATTGTGTTCTCTTCCTCTGTTTGTTATCGTCATCCTATTCTTTGATTCTTCACTACTATTTTATCTTCTATACACACATGTACTGTAAGGGCTCAAGAAGCCGTCAGTTAAATGCATAATATAAAAATAATAAAAACGGTGCTTTTACGCGTAAAAAGCGCACACTTTAGCATTTCATGAAATTTGAGTTTTTTTCGGGCAATAAAAGAAGCTTGCGGACGACAACATTGAGAAAATCATTTGATTCGAAACAAAAAAGAACGCGTTTTAACGGATCAAAACGTGCGCTTTTTACGCGTAAAAGCACCGTTTTATTCAACGCTTGTCTGACTGGGAAACATAGACAGCCTCGTATACTGCCCTTTTCGATCATCCGAAATAAAAGTCAATGAGAAAGATCATATTCATTTGATGCCTTATTGACGCACGCGAAATGGATAGGTAAATCTAACGTGGGTGACTGTTAGTTATATGTCTGATCTATGCTGAGATATAGCACTAAGCATATGCCCTGCTGATATTAGGCGTGTAAACAAATGTACGATTCAATGTCCACTGTAAGATAATATATGTCACATTTTTGGCTTCGCTATTCAACTCCTTTTTTTCTTGTTTTCTCTATTAGCCACATTATATATGCTTAAGAACAATACGACGAGATTCATACAAGAAAAGATCAATAGTGACAAAATATTTTCCGAGACTATTTGTTAGAAAGGTAAATATTTTAGAATTATTTAATTTTCTACGCCTGTTTTTGTTGAGAGGTTGCATTTTTAGTTGTATTTTTTTAACGATTTGTGGTGTTTAATAGATAGCTTTTGATAAAATAGTCACTTTGCAACATGTACCATCGATAAGTCAAAGATAAAAAAAAATAAAAATTATAATATGTTGTAATTTCTCATTAGCAACTATAAATGATATCTCACATAAATATTCTATTACGTTTATAAAACTATCATAATTAGAGGTGTCGGCTTAGCATTAAATTGAAAATAATGCATTAGTGTATTATGCTAAAGAAAACACCCACACCCCGATTTATTCACTAAATTAGCATTCCTAACACCGATGCTACTTTTTATTCTAAATATTTAGTATTAATTGATTTTCCTTGAGAAATAAATCAATGCATTATTTTCACTTTTAATGCTAAGCCGACACCTCTAATCATAATATCAGTGACCCAAGAGTATTTAGACAACGTTGAGTGACAATATGCATCGTTTGTTTGCTCTTGTAGAAAAATCTGCGAGATACAGAGTATATAGATAATGGAAATGGTGTGAATTTTTGCACAAAATAAACTGCATGTAGATTTCTCAAATAGAGTGGTGATTTTGGTTTACTTCTATTTGATGTGTATCAGAGGTGTCCACAGGGCCAATTTTATTGCCCTGCCCTGCCCTGCTTTTTACCGTAACTCGCCCTGCCCTGGCAGGGCAAAATCATTTTCAAATAATTTGTGTCCTGCCCTGCCCTGTCATTTTGGCACCGTGGCCCTGCCCTGCCCTGCTAATTAAGAAGATTTTTTTTCATATTTAAATTCAAGTTTAAGTAATCTTTTTTATTTGAAAAATAGTTCAGCAAATAGATAAATGATCAGCAAATAATAAATTAGCGCTAATTGAAAAAGTGTATACGATGATATTGCATCATCACTGATGATCCATCAGTAGATCGACTTGTCCATGTAACCCGCTACTTCGCTGATCCAGTTTTAAGAATGTTTTGTTTCGATATAAACAGATCTCAGCGTATTTTCTGGTACAATTTTTT